GGAGGAAGGGGGGAGGCTCCCAACCCTTTTCTTTCTCTCTCTACGCGTGTGTCTGTGTGAATCTATTGGTTCTCTAACTAGAAACCACCAATTTTGAACAAGACTATCTTCTTGGGCAAAGGGCAAATAAGTCATGCCCGATATGCATAGTTGTTTGTTTAATTGTTAGCCCCACATGCGAGCTCAAGTCCCACGTGAGGGAGGATAGAAACGAGTTTGTATCTAACATCGAATAATTAGGACTATCCAATGTTGGTTTATATAGTTGAGGAGCTACTTCACTCATTGACAATTAATTTTGAGTTGAATGCTCTGAGTCAAACAAAAATATCCGGTATACAAACCCATGCATAAACACCGGTAAAGAAAATGCCGCAAGTGTTACTTATACTGACAAGTGATTCTACTACACAGGGATAAGGGATTCTACGTCTCAAGTTGGTTTTTTTTTAAATTTGTGTTGAGTTATAATCAAGTTCATGTCATAAAATTCGTGTTGAGTTCGAGTCGTGTCATCATGTTTTTTTTTTTGAACAACATGTTGTGTTATCATGTTGAGTCGTGTCATCATATTGAGTCGAAAATTTTTACGTCTAGTTAAGATTAAAAAAATATATTTTTTAATTTTTAATTTTAATTTTTAAGTTTTTTAAAAAATATTTATATAAATAAATACATATTTTATTATCATATTTTTATATTGAATTAATGTATACATAATATATAGACAAATAAGATACATCTCAACACAAATAATTAATTTTTCATCAACTTTTATTCCGATTTTGGAGGAATTAATTTTGGCAAGTTGGAGAGAAAATTAATCTATCCACTTTTTCATCTTTCTTATTTTTCTTTCTTACTAAACATGATATTTTATTTATTCTTTTAATTTTTTATCTTCTAATTTTTTATCGTACCAAACGAAATAGGAGAAAAAATGGAGAGGGAAATATATTTCCTTGGGCATTAAAAATCATATAATCCTTCCTACCACTCCCGGTGCCTATAATAAACACCTTCTACATAATGAAGTATATATTCTCTAGCATCACAAAATTGAGTCTGAGTGGCAACCAGATAGTAGCTTCAACCCTAGAAGCTGTCAAGTCAGCTAACATTTATTGCCAAAAGCATTACTCCAACTAGTAACAGTCGTTATCAAAGACTTCAGGAATTCACAGTTTATAATATAAAACAGGATAATTTCAACAAACTTATCTTACGGTCTTAAATTCATTCATTCAACAGTTAAAAAATTATTATTTTTTCCCTTAATATTCCCCTCATCCAGTCAACGATTACGACTAATTTTGTATACATCTTACGATTTCAAATTTATTCATCCAAAGGTCAATAAATTACCATTTTTTCTTTAATATTTTTCTCTCAATCGGTCAACGATTACGACTGATCTTAAAACACATGACTTTCATTAACATTATAATTAAATGAGTTAAATTTACCATTAATATCATTTGTGTAGTGTAATAATTTGAATTTTTATAAGATATAATAATAACATTTTTGATTAAAAAAAAACTCATCAATTTAACAAATAATATATAATATAAAACAGGGCGGCTTCAACAAGCTCATCTTATGGTTTCAAATTCATTCATCAAACAGTTAAGAAATTACTTTTTTTTCCTTAATATTCCCCCCAATCGGTCAACGATTGTGCCTAATTTTGGACACATCGTACAATCTTAAATTCATTAATTTAAATCTCAATAAATTACCATTTTTTCTTAATATTTTTTCCCAATCGGTCAACGATTACGACTTATCTTGGAACACGGGACATTCATTAACATTATAATTAAATGAGTTAAATTTGTCATTAATATCATATGTGTAGTATAACAATTTGAATTTTTATAAGACATAATAATAACATTTTAATTAAAAAAAACTCATCAATTTAACAAATAAAAAAAACAAGGCGCTACTTAACACATTTATATTGAATATAATTAATTTAATTTTATTTATTTAATTAATTATCTCAAACTAGCATGCCTTACACATATTTTGAATCACAAGTTCAAGACTAATTTTTTTTTATCTCTTAAAAAAATCTAACGCTAATATATTCTTATAAATTAATAATTTTGTAATAACTTTAACTAATTAAAAATAATAATATTTTATAAATGATATTTGTAGAACTTTTTTTGATAAATTAGATTTTTAATTTATATTAAATTTGACTCGATTTTGATTACATGTATATAAATTAATATTTTTTTTAGTCAATTATATTATATTTCGTGGATTTATCTATAATATAAAACAAAAAAGACTTTAATAAGTTTATCCGATGATCTCAAATAAACTCGTTCAACGGCCACCAATATCTCTTTGAAAATCATTCAGATTGAATTTTACTTTTACCTTCATTTTCTCACTCTTCACACTCTCTCTCTCTATGACGGATAAAGGAGGGGTCTAGGACCACCTGATATAATTTTTTTTAGTCATATATGTTTTATATATTTTTTTTGGATATTCTTAATTGGACCTGCTGTAATGATTTATGAAAAAAGAAAATTAATTGGGTCAAACAAGTTGGGTACTATAACAAAAAAAAAGTCCATACCAAATATGTTAAAATTAGCAAACTTAAATTGATTACTTAGAATATTGGTATGAATTGTTAGAGCTTTGTTTGGTTCAAAAATTATGAAATATATAGCTAAAAAGAGTAAAATATAGAATTTGTAAGAAGATTAAATATTATAGAATATTAATTTTATTTGTGTCAAATCTATAATATTTAATAGGACATATTTCAATTAGTTTATTCAACAGTATCAAATAGACTTATCTAACATCCTCCAACATTTCTTTCAAAATTATTCATATTGAATTTCTACCCTCCAAAATCCAAAATTTTTCATTTATGTTGTACCGTGCCTTCAGGCACGAGTTACCCCTAGTTATTTATAATATAAAACAGAAAAGATTTTAATATATTCATCCGACGGTTTCAAATATATTCGTCAAACGGCCACCAACATCTCTTTCAAAACCACTCAGATTGAATTTTACCTTTATTTTCTCACTCTTCACTCTCTCTCTCTCGCAATGGCGGATAGAGGTGGGGGGTCTAGGATCATCCTGATATATTTTTTTTAGATATTTTTAATTGGACCAGTTGTAATAATTTATGAAAAAAAAAAAAATTAATTGGGTCAAACAGGTTGAGTACTATAACAAAAAAAAAAATTTCATACCAAATTTATTAAAATTAGCAAATTAAAATTGATTACTTAGAATATTGGTATGAATTGTTGGAGCTTCATTTGGTTCAAAAATTATGAAATATAAAGATAAAAATGAATAAATAATAAAATTTGTAAGAAGATTAAATATTATAGAATATTACTTTTATTTGTGTTAAATCTATAATATTAAATAGGATAGACTTCAATAAGTTTATTCGACGGTATTAAATAGACTCATCTAACATTCTCTAACATATCTCTTAAAATCATTCATATTGAATTTCTATCCTCTCGAATTCATAACTTTTCATTTATGTTACACCGTGTCTTCAGACACGAATTATTCCTAATTTAATCATAATATAGGGTTTCACAATATTCTATGATAGGAAGGACTTATTCCATGATGATCTCACTGAGGCTCATTTCCGTCAGAGGAGAAGGGAAAAGGTTATCATATCAGAGCTCACCAAATTTTTCCCATGTCTTTTTAATCTTCAACTTTTATTCATTCAAACTTGTACAACATTCATTCATTTACATTAAAATATTGTCTAAAAGAGCTCCTTACATGTCCTCTTTATACAAATTTATAAGCTTAAAACAAATTACATATTTGATTACAAAAATATAATTTAAGAGCCACATTTCAGTTCTATCATCAACACGTGTTCAAGTGAGGGTCGTCTACCAACGCCTGTCGAACACTTGGAATATGTCCCCATAAAGAGTGAGTTACGCTCAATAAGATATCTCCTAAAAAGACTACTCCCTAATCTAAATACATATAAAATGTCACATGCAATTTATCATATAATAATTTATTCAAGAATGTATATTTCACAAATAAATGTTACAATGTCATATCATGAGATGAAACTCATGTATGCAATGCAAACTCGAGCTCTCTATCGACTCCCATAACACACATGTCATGTCATACATATATATCTGGACATTTCAAGGTCCTGCCATATCCAATGACTATTTTATAAAATCTCAAGACTTTCTTTGGGAAGATATTTATGAACTTCCATTAACGGGTATCCAATGTAGAGAGAAGGTCCATATTATTTCTCAAACAAGAGGAGATCTTGTTGTAAATTAACCAAACGTCATGCAAGTAAATGTAATTTACCCTTGAATAATTAATTGGGTCCCCTTCGCTTCTAACTTATTAATGCATTAGTTATAACTCATGCCTTTAAACACAACGAAATATGATATTTGATCGTTTAAAAAGTTGATATACAACAATTTTTTATTTCTTTGTTTATTTAATTACATCATTTAAAATTAATTTCTATATATTATTTTTTAAAAAAATAGCATTAAAATTTTCTAAAAATGTATAACCTAACAAAATTTTTTCAACACATGTACACTATCATAAATGGACAATATATGAAATAATAATTGCGTTAAACTACAAATTAATCAAATATTAAACGATTAAACATGCTATACAAATGGGTAATGAGATAATTTTGAGGAAAAAAATGTGAGATAAAAATTCAGACTCCTAGGTTTTTTATTATACAGATATTCTTCTAATTATATTTATACACAAAAAATTGGTAGGTGTTAGATGGTAGCTCCAATCCTTTGTAACTCCAAACTTCCTCACCTCTATTTAAAGTCTCATGTTCTTTCCTCATATACACAGGGAGATAAAATAACTCAGCACAATAAAATTATAAAAAAAAAAAGAATTATATAATGAAAAAAAAAAATCCAGATGAAATTATGTTCATAAGGAAAAAATAATGATCTGTTTCTAGAGGTTAGTTGATTTAAGAGAATCCCCACTCTCATTTTTGAAGTGGTGAAATCCCTAAATTTCTAAGATTTCGGAACATGGATTCAACATTAGTTGATTTCCATAGCATATACAACATAGGATGAAACACAGTAATTACATCAAAATGTACAACATTTGGCCCAAAATTATTTTATCGATTCAAGCAAAATTGCGAGAAGCTATGCACAACACAGGAAACGCACAGAGAAACTCAATGTTGATAAGATGGGTATTATTGCCATGACCTATGACTCCATCTCATCTTGCAAAAGGATCTCATAAATATCTGTCCTTAGGTTTATTTCCTTGTCTCGCATGACTTCATGGAGATCTGAGAGCTCTTTTGCAGTTAGCACAGAATTCAGCTTGATGAAACCATCGAGCCATAGCTTTTTCGACCTGGGGAACATAGTGAACAAAAATGAGGTGAGCTTGAAATCAAAACAGTACTCACCGAATCGCTAAATTTTAGAAACAAGCATCTGCTCTGTCTAATGGTGTCACATATCATACCGTTGGGAAAAAGTTTCTCATTCTACTAATACAATATAAGTCAACAGCAAATATCAAATTAAAATGCAGGCTTAAGGATTAGCCGGCATATTTATGCATCACAGTAATCCCACTATCCTATACCAGAGGCATAAGACCTCACTGAATATTTTCCACCCACAGCACAAAAAATAATCAGTTTTGGGAATAATAGAGAGAAAGAAAAGGCGGTAAAAAAGGTTTATTGGTGGAAGTGACTACTAGGTCCAAATTTGCAAATGTGCTGAGAAAGAGATAATTATTGAGACTGATGCCCCAACAATTTATCGATCACAATGCGGCCCAAATTTTAAACAGGGCAAAGTTATGGAAGCTCTTCCAAAAATGCAGTAGCACAGATGAAGCTTGATTTTTCATGTTCGAGTGTTCATAAATATCTAACCCAACCAAAACAACTTCAAGCTAGTGACAAACAGGTCCAAATAACTAGCTTTTTCCCCCTTACGTTGAGACCACAGAGCCCAACATCCAAAAATATGTTGAAAGAGTACTTAGATACAGTCTAAAGTAATGTAAACTAAATGAAATAACACAAGCACAACTGAGGCTATGAGAAACTGAGCGATTGACTAGGAATGAACAAATGCCCATAATAGTGTGAGTACAAAAGATAGAACTGATAGGAAGGCCTTTTTAAGTATCCTTTTCACCGTTCCACATATCCCCAACCCCTACAACACACAACATTCTACCCCTAAACACCCAATTCCTACAGAACAATCATGAGAATTAGAAAATTGGAGTTCATATTCTATGGGGCCATAATGACACACATTTAATACTTTGTCGGGAGTACAAAATTCTAACTGTGGATGCTGGATACAGGACTCTTGATTAACTAGGTGAGTCTGAAAAAAGAATAGCTTATACAAACATCCTTACAGAATTGGTGGTTGACAACTGAACAAGAATCACTTAGTTGCATATGAGAATCCTTAAATAATTTTTTTTCCCTAATCTACCAATACTCTTATCATTTGACCATATGCTAACATAGCATCCGCAAGCAGATTATGCTTACGTGAGCAGAGGGATGAGCATTCGGACAATCATAATATTATTATGCACGTGTATAAAGAATACATTTCCTCGAGAGAGAAAGATCTCACCAGGGGCATGCATGGATAGCTCGGAAGAAAATTCTTCTAGCTGCAGAAGGGTTGCACACTACATTTATCTCGTACGCAATGTAGCAACGCCAGAGTACTACTGAGTTGTGCAACCTGCCATTCGCCAACGCCCTTTCAAATAATCCATGAATTCGATGTTGGGAATATCCTCTGCTCATCTCAAATGACAATGCAAAGAGCCAAATGATCACAGATGGTTTCCTGAGAGTGTAGGCAGTATATAAGATTGAAGTAAAACTTAGTAAGGACTATAAAACAGTTGACAAGGAATTAAGTACTAAACTCTCCAGATTCCAGGGTTAAAATCACAGAATTTCTGGCATAATAAAGATTCAAGATTGTAAAATAGCAAAAGAGCAGCAACCAATGAATATACATATATATATATATATATATATATATATATTGACATAAAACTTGAATTTCTGGCATAATAAAGATTCAAGATTGTAAAATAGCAAAAGAGCAGGCTGAGCTGCAACCAATGAATAAATATGTGACAGAAAACTTGATGAAGGGAGGTGAAGCATTACTTTTTATTTTATCTCAACTGAATAAAGGTCAACTAGAGGCCGGACCTGGAGCATTGACAAATCCCCTTCCCCCTAGTGCTTCCTCAGAAAAAGTTCCAAACTTAATCCTACCCAGAATAAATTAATTCTCATACTTCGACACCCCAGTTAACAACATTATTCTCATACCCAAACACCCCATCTTCTTCTTCCCTATCACGTATAACAGAAACAAAACATGGCCACCAGGCCATCACCGCACACAACCACCCACCACTACTCCACCACCACCACTTCAATCCAATCAACATCCAACTCAATTCGCAATCAATCAATGCACAGGCCTCTATGTACACGCTTCTCTGGTGTGTATCTACACATGCGTCCTCTTCTCAAACATAATCACAGAGTGGGCACCGGGCCTATACAATGCATACATATAATGTAGTTATAAATATATGCTATAGAGAGATAGGGGGGAGGTAGGGGTGGTTTGGGGGCTGCCAATGGCGGGTAGAAGGGCTTAAACCGTCCGAAACCCACAATCTACAATCAATCGAATTCATGCTAAATCAATCAATTTCATTGGCTTTTTCTCCAAATCAAATTCACACACACACACATTCATTTTATTCTTATCGTATCAATACTAGAGGATTAATTCTCTATTATACATACGGAGAACCTTCGCGGAGGATAACTCTCACTCCAGATTTGACTGAACAAGCTTGAGGTGTGTTTGCATGTTAAGACACACACACAACAAAAAAACAAAAAAACACATGCTTATACATATTAAGTAGACAGGGAGCAAGAAAGTTTGTGACTATGCAGGCGTTTGTGGGAGTTAGGATGCAAGAGGTGGAAGGAGGGGGCCAGCGTGGGGGTTGCTATGTAGGAAAGGACTGCAGGGAGAGCGTGCTATCAGGCAGGAAGGGGGGACACTCCCCCCCTTTTTTCCTGTCTCTCTCTATGTGTGTGTCTGTGTGAATCTATTGGTTCTAACCAGAAACCAACAAATTTGAACAAAACTATCTACTGGGTCAAAGGGCACACAAGTTGTGTCTCTAGTATGCGATCAAAATCGTGCGCCACTTAGCAATGGCAAGTTGTCGTGTTGTTTTGGAAGAACTCAAGGGATCCAACCATGGTTTTATTTCACCGACTGGGAATTGACAGCGATACAAGATCACATGTCCAGAGAGAAAAATTAAGTAGAAATCAAGGTCCATCCCTCCTGTAATTGAAAGCACTTTAAAGAATCATCTCTGAAAATACAGGGCATGGCGCGAATATAGAACAGTTTATGATATAATAATCAGCTACATCCAGATGATCAGATACATAAATTGTTAGAACTCTATATTATAATAATCATAAATACAACAGACCTATGAATTGCCAAAATAAATAAGCATTTGATATTGCAATTACAAATCTCGTATCAGTCTAGTATTGCCACTCTCTAAGGTACTCGACTCCCTCCAATACCACCACACTTGCCGCAGAAGTAGCCTACTAACACAATGAAAAGGGAAATACTCCAATCCAACATGTTTATAGATATTGATTCAGAATGCATTATAAATGGTCTTTTATGTCCACGTCTTTCCAACATCTACTTCTATTATAATGCAAGAAGCCCATAGATGACTCCATCAGTAATATCACATTCTCTTGTAACCTACATGGATTATATTCTTCAGTTACTGTGATACATAATTTTGACCAAAGCAGGAGATTGAAATGATGAAATATTACACATGCAATTGTGTCCGAGTGTAGGTTATTTAAGGCAAACTTGTATCCCACATTGAATAATTATGACCACTCAAGGTTGGTTTATATACTTGAGTAGCTAACCTCACTTATTGCCAATTTGTTTTGAATTGGATGTTCTAACATGTTATCAGAGTTGGGTCTTGGATGGCCAATTAGTCAAAGTCTCTCACCTGTTTGAATTTCCCGATATACGTAGTTGTTTTTTTGTTTAATTTTTAGCTCTAGTGCTCTACATGCAAGCCCGAGTCCCATGTGAGGGAGAGTGGAAAGCGAGCTTGTATCCAACATTGAATAATTAGCACCACCCAAGGTTGATTTATATACTTGAAGGCTACTTCACTCATTGGCAATTGGTTTTGAGTAGGATGCTCTGACAGGTTAAACAAACATATCTGGTATACAAACCCAAGCATATACACTAGTAAAGAAAACACCACTAGTTTTACTTATACTGACAAAGGATTCTACTACACGGACAAAAAACCTTACTTGTGACAGTAATCATCAAATATCCACCGTAATTTATTGGCTGCAGTGTGAAGCATACTGATTTCCACTAAAGATTTGTAAAGCTTTGAACTGAAAGGGTATATTTGTAACCCTCGTACAACAGACTCCCATACTTTTGCCAGTTTTGATTGCCTATGATATTTCCAAAGCATCCTTAAATAATAGTTGAACAAAAATTCCAGTTGACAACACTGGCTTCTTCTCTCTGCAATAACGGACAATATGAAAGTCATGAGAAAGAACAAACTCACTTTAGACCCAATTAAATTAATGAAAATGTGTCCACAGCTCCTAAATGAAAATTTCCAACTTGAACAATGAGCATGAAAATGGTTAACATAAGATATTGCACAAAACAAGATGCAATGGATTCAATTCTATCTGTAGTATTCAGTCACTTACTCCCCTTTTTGATTGATAAGGAAAAAAAAAAAAGAAGAGAAATCTTACATTCTACATTTATTTGGCTCAGGAGAAGTAAAAAAAGTTATTCAATTGCATCCGAAGAAGCCTACGTTCAGCTAACTGAATTCCCATTTTGTTTGCTTGGGTCCCAAACCGCCAGACGATAAAATGAAATTACATGTCAACTGATTTCCTAATCAGCATCTATTGGTGCTCAATCTTTGTTTTATTTTATCCACCAAACTCTACCTTCTGGACAAGTGTCGGAAGCATGCTTGCATTTTCCTCTACCGTCCCAGGAAGGGTGTAAAAAGCAACAGAGCAAATTATTTTAACTTGGCTACATAGAACTTCCTACTCAACTAAACTCTCTGTCAAGCCATATCATTTCCTAAACTCAAGGAAATCATGTCACAAATATCTATGCATAAATTTTAAATTATGGAGGAAATAATTGATTGGATATTTCAGAAATCAGTTTATTAAAACTCATAAATGTATGGTGCATAAAAAAGTCAATTCACAGTCACTAAGCATATGTATTCTATACGGAAAACTATGTGATCAGTACATAACACCAGATCCTCAATCCGTGGGTCTTCAGATGCCTATGTTCTCTAAATCATGAGTGAGATAGAGGCAAAACATCCCAATGAAGTCCAATTTTCTTAATCATTTGCACCATATCAATCCAATCAACCAAGATCAGCAAAACTATGTACCAATGACTGTTAGGGTTTCAGCTAATAGCTTTCTGTGCTTATTGAGTGTCAACAGACATGAAAATCTGTTGAATGGAAACTCACAGTTGTTCTCTCACAATCATATACATGGTAAAACATAGAAATTGTGCCACATTTTATTTCCCTTTCTCTTCTTTACTATTTTCCAGGGCCCAAATCATAAGATTGTGCTCCATTAATGCCTTACATTCTTTATTACAGAGTCACAAAACATACAATTAACTTGATTATCAGATTCTGCAGTGACTTAGCTTGCTACCTCAGTTGATATATTGTCGATATACTATAAATATTGAGGCAATACCAGGTAAAGAAAATGGGGCATGCTAAAGAAAATTGATTTTTATTCCCCCCCCCCCCCCCCGGCCCCCCTTTTCTTTTCTCATGAAAGAAAATGGATTTCCTCGGGCATCAAAATCACATATTCTTTCCTACCACTCCTGGTACCAACAATTGAGGCTGAGTGGCAAAATCATATATTCCTTCCTATCACTCCTAATTTTCTACAAAATGAAGTACATATTCTCTAACATCGCCGAATTGAGTCAGAGAATATTCTCTGGCATTCCTAGAAGCTGTCAAGTCAGCTAATATTGATTGCAAAAAGTACGACTCTTACTAGTATTAGTTGTAATCAAAGACTTCAGGGACCCACAATCTATAATATAAGACAGGGCGGCTTCAACAAGCGCATCCTACGGTCTCAAATTCATTCATCTAACGGCTAATAAATTACTTCCTTAATATTTCCCCCCCAACCGGTTAACAATTACGGCTGATCTTGGAACACATTCTACGGTCTCAAATTCATTCATTCAACGGTCAAGAAAATACAATTTTTTTCCTTAATATTTTCTCCCCCAACCGCTCAACGATTACGACTAATCTTAGAACACTACTTTCTCTAACATAATAATTAAATGGGTAAAATTTGTCATTAATATCATATGTGTAGTGTAACATTTTGAATTTTTATCAAACACAATGATAACATTTTGATTAAAACAAACTCACCAATCTATAATATAAAACAGGGCAGTTTCAACAATCTCATCCTATGGTCTCAAATTCATTCATCAAACGATCAAGAAATTAATTCCTTAATATTTCCCCCCAACCGGTCAACAATTACGGCTGATCTTGGAACACATTCTACGGTCTCAAATTCATTCATCAAACGGTTAAGATATTACCATTTTTTTCCTTAATATTTTCTCCCCTAACCGGTCTACGATTACAACTAATCTTGGAACACAGTATTTTGTCTGACATAATAATTAAATGGGTAAAATTTGTCATTAATATCATATGTGTAGTGTAACATTTTAATTAAAAAAAACTCATCTATTTAACAAATAAAAAAAATAAGGGCACTGATTAACACATTATATTAAATATAATTAATTTTAATTAATTTTAATTTATTTATTTAATTAATTAGCTCAACCTAATATGTCTTACTCATATCTTGAATCAAAAGTTCAAGACTAATTTTTTTAATCTTTTAAGAAAATCCAACACTAATATATTCTTAAAAATTAATAATTTTGTAATAACTTGTATTAATTAAAAAATAATATTTATAAATGATATTTGTAGATCTTTTTTTGATTGAAAATATTTTGGAGATGTACTTTTTGATAAATTGGATTTTTAGTTTGTATTAGATTTGACTCGATTTTGATTACATGTATATAAATTAATTTTTTTTTAAGTTAATTCTATCATATTTCGTAAATTTACCTATAATATAAAATAGAATAAACTTCAATAAGTTTATCCGATGGTCTCAAATAAACTCATTCAATAGCCATCAACATCTCTCTCAAAATCATTTACTATCTCTCTGTGGTAGTGGCGGAGGGAGGAGGGGTAGGAGCCACCCTAGAAAATATATATATATATATATATATATATATATATATATATATATATATATATATATTTTAGTTATATATGTTTTATATATTTTTTTGGATATTCTTAATTGGGCCTACTGTAATGATTTATGACAAACAAAATTAATTGGGTCAAACAAGTTGGGCACTAGAACAAAAAAACAAAAATAAAAAGTCGATACTAAATCTCTTAAAATTAGTAAACTAAAATTGATCCCTTAGAGTATTAGTATGATTTATTGCAACCTCCTTTGGTTCAAAAATTATGGAATATATAGTCAAAAATGAGTAAAATATGGAATTTGTAAGAAGATTAAAAATTATAAAATATTATTTTTATTTGTGTCAAATAAATTATATAACTGATCATGGATGTATTGATGTTATCTTATTAATCTTTTTCAAACAGACCCATTTTATGTTTAATGAATTTTTAAGTATCAAATCCGATATAAAAAATATAAATATATAACATTATTTTAATCTATTAAAGATAGTAAAACTTGTACTTAAAGTGTATCCACCCTAGATCATATTTTTTGCTCCATCACTACTCTCTAGGATCTTCACTCCTCACTTCTCCAAATTAAACGGTTGGTTTACGTTATACCGTGCCTTCAAGCACAGGTTATCCCTAGTTTAATCATAATATAGGGCCTCACAACATTCGATGATAGGTAGGACCTATTCCATGATGATCTCACGGGCTCATTTCCGTCATAGTAAAGGGTTATCACATCAGAGCTCAGCATACCAAGCCCTGTACCAAAATCAATCTTCTCCATCCTTACAAAAAGGTTTAAATGAATCCACGTTATGACATCAAAGACAGGTACCATCACATATACTGATTCACTACACTACATCAGCTCTAATTAGTAATCAAGTATGTCCATAGAAATATAAGTACGTGTGGAAAAAGAAAAAAACTAGCATAACATTGAAGTTTTGCATAGGAAGGCCAAATTACCAGGAAGCACCATGGAGAAAGCCTGATTTAAAATTTCAATTCCAGTAGCCCATCCACCGGTCAACTCTTCAAATAAAGCAGCTGAACAAATGAGAGCAATAGAATTATCATCAATAAAACCACGTGCGCATGTTGACCATAGCATTCTTATGCGTTCCTTATACCCTTGGCGTGCTTTCAGCTGTTGCAAACTTGATGGATGACATGTAAATGAACTGTATTTTGTCCCGCTTCCTAAGCAAGATAGAATATGCATAGCACGTGATGATGATTCTGAACCACATCCAGAACTATTGGCAAGCTCCATTTCAGCATACCAAAAATACAAAAGAGATGCATCTGACCGAGAATCCTGCTAAATTAATTTAGAGAAAGTACATAAATACTATTTCCATGGCGTGGAATGAAATTATACAGAGAACAACAAACTAAATTCACATTCGTGATGACATTTTTCCCATGGTTCAAATTCCACTATAAAATTGAAAATTGAACGCAAAGAATACAAAAAATAAATAAATAAACTGCCATGAAAACAGTGTATCAAGTGGAATTAAGGAAAACTGCAGCACTAAATATGCATGATGTAACAGTAGACAAGAAAGAAAGGAAGCTTGAGATACAAGGGAAAATTTCTGTGGAAGCCTCCTCATGGATACTAATTAAAGTTATCAATTCATCCATCCACAACTTTTAACATATAGTCTATAGGGGTTTTTAGTGTGTGAGAGCTCTATATACATTGGTTACTAATTAGGGAAACGCAGCAGTTTCATTAAAGAGGAAAAGAACACCATCAACCAGGAGGATATGGAAGAGGGAAGGGTGAAACTAGCTGGCCACAAGAAGTCAGGACAAATATTTTCTGAGTTGAATTGAGCTCATTCCCACTCAACTTAAAGCTTCGATTTAGAACCTTGGGCTACCGGTGGGTCTTGCAACCAACTCTATTAGATTTTTATTTCCATCATGTGTATTTGTTTCTATTCCATTTGCTTCTCTAGAGGTGGAAGGGTGTTTACAGTTGTTTTTTTTTTTCCTGTTGTGGGGTGGAGGGGGAGGAAGAATCAAAGATTGACATATACTACCAGCCCATTCCCCCCACAACTTAAGCTTCCAAATGTAGTTGTCCAAAGTGCAACAGTGTAAAAGAACCAAAACAAGTTTTAGATACAAGAACCTGTTCACCACAATCCAAAATGGGTAAATTATGGATCACCCCCTTGTGGTTTGGCCCAGTTGCAGACTAGTAAGTTGAATAAGCCTCATACAAACCCTTATCAATATGTACCAAAGAAATAATGTTAACACTTCCCTTCCACTTAACGAAAAACCAAACGCGCAGCAAGAATGAGTGTGGAAATTGTTTCCTTCCAAACTAATAATGTTAATAACCAAAATACCCCCACCTTCTTTCCACACCATCTGGCTACCTCTTGCACTAGTAGTCTCAACCGGCAGCCCCAACTCCTCTAGCCCAATTGCTAAAGATAGCCTCCACTCCACCATACCTCCAATATTTGGGCCTAATGAGTCCACTCCTCATGCGCATAGGCCAAACGAAGACAAAGGTACAACACTACATATATGCATAGATAGATTATATATATATATATATATATATATCGAAAGAGAGATCGAGAGAAAGAAGGGAAGAGAGATTGGAAGTCAAATGGGTTCCTTAACACCACATCATTGACAGGATTGCTACCAAATATATGCCGTAATCAAGAACAGCTTCATCTTCTCAAGTGCTGAAGCACAGACTCCAACAAGTAAGAAATCTACTGCCACTCAATAAGATAGTTTCCCACAGGAATCAAATGATCCAGTTGAAGACTGCGTCAACTCAAAAGTTGATTTAAAACTTTGCTTCATTTACAAAAAATAATGTAAACAGGAAGAGAGAAGGGGGGGGGGGGGGGGGAAGAAAAGAGAGGGAGAGTATGTGGGTGTGCATTTAGCTGTCAGTCTGTGTTATGTGTGAGTTAGTTTGTGCTGCTTGGGTGCATGTATCTGTGGGTGAGTAAGAGAAGAGGAGGAGGAAAATAAGAGTTGTTTGGTTAGGGCAACAATTAAAATTTTGTTCGAAACGATCAAAATAGCCGAAACGTTTTTATTTTCAAGAATATCGAACCGAATCATTGATGGAATCAAAATTTTAATATTTCAAAATGTTTCATAATATTTCGAGGTATTTCGTAATATTTCGACGCATTTACACAATTGTTTCAGAAGGTTTCAAAATCCTTTGGTATATTTCAACTAACATTTTGGAAAAATAATTACTCAAATTATTTATTCTTTTCCATTATGTTTTGAAACATGAATCGTTTTCGAAATAAGTCAAAACATTTTCAATTAATCAAATGATCTCTCTAATTCTCACCACTATCCTCCTCATAAAATTATTGTCTTCACTCTTTTCAACAACTTCACATAGAACTTCATAATTTAAGTTTATGGTATCGACCATCAACTCGCTGGGCTCTGGGACACATCAATCGCAGCATCGCGGCGTGATATCGGGCGATACAACCTAACAGAAAATGTTAAAAATGACGAGATATTCAAGTCATATAGCGTCATCACGAAACTGTAATGGTCGACTCAATGACAATAACTAAAAAACTCATAATTGTCTATGAGATAACTCGAACAACTCGACCGAGTCTCGCAAGAATCAAACTTTATATATGATGTGTAACGGTATCAACTCGGAAGGTGCCAAGTCCAATACGACTCGACCAATTGTGTCAGTATCAGCCGATACTTTGAACCATGTATTAGCCTTGCCTCTTGGGCTAATAATAGACACTTGACACCCCCACCCCCACCCCCACAACAACACCAAAAACAACACCTTATCAATGACCAAACAACACTAGCACATAAGAAAAACAAAGGAAAAGGAAAAGGGAGGAGAATTCACATTTCAGTCAAAACAATGATTTAGCAAGAATCGAAAGATGGAGAAGAGTTCAGCAACCCACCAGGCATCCCTGAGTCAAGATTTTAGCAGATCCAAGCCAACTTCCACTCCCACGAACTTCTTCCTACTTCAAGTACAATCTTCTTCCTTTCTTTTTTTTTTTTTTTTCCTTTCTTTCTCTCTTCTTTTCTGATAGGTCTTCATCCACATCAAGCCTCCTGCAAATACGATCTTCTTCCTTTCCCTTCTTTTTTTTCTCTCTTTCTTCCTTCTTCTCTGCTAGGTCTTCATTGAGTTTCTATTGGGATGGGGATGGCATTCTCTCTCTCAGATTTGCAGATCTAGGATGGGGATAGCGAGTTTTGAGGGTCATCACTGAGTCTTGAACCCTTTCTCTCTCACGTGCGATTAAAACAGACGGATCACCATCTGTTTTAATCTCTTACCCTTTCCCCGCCCCCCTTTTTTTTTTCTTTATCTTAGTTTTTTTTTTTTTTGGTTAGCTCTTTTATGTTTCTTAATTAACTTAATGCCCCTTCCACCTTTTTTTTTCTTGTGTCATTGTTAATTTATAACCTATGTTTTAATCTCCCACCCCTTTTGTTTTTTTCCTTTTTCCTCTTATTCTTGAAATTAGTTGTAGTGACTTTTGCCTTGTGGCAAGTGTCTTTTTTTTTTTTCCTCCAACTTGATGTTATCTTGTACAAATGAATGTTAATCCAATAAACATGTTCAATTAATCAATTATTAAGCTTATATTTATAAATAAAAAGATTTTATTTATGTTTCCATATTTTTTCTCTATTTTCATTGTGTTTCCGTTTCCGTTTCCGAGCTAACCAAAACGGTATATTGAACTGATATTTCAATCCATGAGCTCACACTACCATTCTAACACATACGCCTTTTAAGAGAATAAAACCTCATGACACATTAAAATAACTCATTGCATGTGCAGCCACCAAAAATACCAAAAATAAAAAAACATCTGTCATTAGCAAAGTTCAGAGTTTTCAAATTATGACCAAGTAACTATAGAGATCTTACCAATGGAAGCCCTTCAATAGACGACAACACCATGTCGAAAACCTTTCTTGCACTATCAATATTCCCAAATACAGCCTCTCTTTGTGCATAAACTCCACATAACAGTATATCCTATAACAACAAATTTGACAAATAAGGAATTCTCCAATTAAAGAAAGGCCAGTACCTAAAAATTAACAGAGATACCAAAAGTTAAAAACCTTTGGCAATAATTTTTGGAATGAGAAACACTGCATCAAACACAAACAAAATTCAAGTTGGAACATTAATGCGGGTGACATGCAGTTGTATTATAACAGCGTGCCTGTTACAAGCATCAGCCACCTCATTCTATTTCTCAAACCTTGAATAAAATCCAAAGGGAAATAATTAAGTACTCTTTTCACTTTAGGTCTCGATCCTTACTCAGAAGGAACGCAGGTGGCATGCTTAACACATGCAAGCCAGACGGAAAGTGGTCATTAGCTCATTTTGTCCCCATAAGTAACTGTCCAATGAATTGTCTAAATAACAACTCACCATACTAAGTTAGTGCCTTCACACCTATGAATGATTGGAATACATGTCTATAATATAAAACTCTATGGCCACCCCAAGTAAAATCAAGCTAAACCACTAATGACATATTGGTCAACTGGTAATCAACTGTTGGCGTCCTCCATCAACACATGGATAATGTCCATGAACCACTACCAAAATTTAACTTAAGAAACCATAAAGAAAACTAAACTGATTATCTGCCATCAGATAAACAAATTCTACTGAATGGAAACCCCCACTTTGATAAAAGAAATAAATTTATCTGTGTATAGTGGGGTTAATAAACATTGCAAGACAAGTACTCATGACAAACTTAGTTGAGCAAGGTCCCAAGATCCTGATGGTACCCAATCCTTCCCAGCTAACAGAATCAATATATCCATGCCCTCTCAATGACTCGGCATATAAATCAAGAATCTAAATTCTAAAATGGAGGACCGAAAAAAAAAAAAAAAAAGAATAAACCAAGTTGCCAAACTATTTCAACTCTTAAAATCTCCACGCATCACCTCCCAACTAATGGAATTAATTTGATTGCATCTAAAAGTATCAGGCATACTGTACAGGGTATCATATGATGCAGTGGAAAACAATACAACTATATAAGTTGTCTCAGTTTTCCATTGTATCAGAACATATCGTACGATATGTATCATGTATTGGACAATACTAACACTGTTGTTTATACTACCTCAACTGCAAAGACAAATTTCTGGCACGTCATATTAATGATGAACGATTTATTTCAACTATGGAATCATCAATTTCTGTAACTAAATAACCCAGTAAAGATCAGAGAATCTAGAAACTAATTCTACATGTTCCACATTTACATCCTAAGTTCATGCGGGGATTGAACAGGGCAGTATTATGCAAGCCTATGGCCAATTTGAGCTTATAAATGCATATATGCATTGGTTCCACTATGTGATGCACAAGGAGCTGCTATCTATGCCACAATTTTCCAAGAAACATAGGGATACAGAAGAACAACAAACACCAGCATGCAATCCCTCAAGTAAAAGATAACCACAATTTTGCTCTTGCCGCATCATGTACTGATAGCCTCGGCTCATCTCTTGATACTTCATAAGTGGACCAGCAATCAACTAGTCTATCGAATTGACCTAACCAAACCACCAAATAAAAATTTTCTCCTCACTTAATCATCATAACCCTTAAAAAATTTCCTTATCTCATCAAAAACATGAGGAACTAAAATTTAGTTTATTGAGGCAGACAGAAGGAATAAACATGTTATAAGATATTGACGACACTAATTAGCAACACGTCATCACAAATCTAACAGAAATTAGGCAAACTTGTGGTTGATCTCGTTATGATATTCTGTCTGGACTTTTCCCCTTCAAAGAAAAACACCCCAAACTTAAGGATGCATTACATCACCAAAAATGGTATATATTCAGGTTCTGGAAGCATATAGGAGATAAAAGCCTTGTGGGCAATACAACTTGAGAATTTTGAAAATAAAAAGGACAAAATAAACACTTACTTCTCAGATAGCTCCAACCAATTATGTCTAAAATATAGAAAAAACAAAAATAAGAGACCAAACGGAATAGAGTTTAATCTATGAGACGCCGCACGGCCCACACCGCCAGTGGATTTGGAACCAACTTTCCAACCCAATTGATGGATGCAAATGTATATGTCATTAGTTATATATGGTACCAGAAATGTAAATACACAAAACCTTTACCCCCGGGAAAAAACACCACCTCACGAAAATATGTGAAGCTCATATTTTAAATTACACATCCAAAGACGATAAAAAATAATGAGATAAAATTCGGCTGTATCCCGCATGGAAAATGATATCAACCAAAAAAAGTATACCTGTCTATTGCTTTTTAAAAGGTTCTTTGCTAAAGCTCGACATGGGGTGGCTGAACAGCTGCATGAGCCCATTCTAGTGTTGTATAGCTCTTCAGCAACAAGAGCAGCTTCTTCCAAAATGTAGTTTTGTGGATATGCAGTTAAACAAAGCAAGGTAGCGTTGCGCAGAAACTTCATTGCATTAGTCCTCATTGAAATGTCATCTGGACCGCTTAAAAGATGTTCTAGATTAGAACTGCCTTGACTTGTTTCTATTTCGGTCAAAACATCATGAACCCATCTCAAATCATCTAAGATAGAATCTGGCAGTGCCTCTAAGCTGAGGGTCTTCTCAGCCCAACTTGAACTGTTTGTGCAAGTCCTACCAGGAAAAAAAATGAAGAAATAGTACCACGAATCCAATAATCTACAGCAAGTGTCAACAATCTAATCATGACACAAGAAAATGCTAAGAACATGCACAAGGACAAGCACCACATCACTTCTATGCAGTTACACCTGACTTAAATATGATCATATGACCAATAATAATCTGTACGCTTCCACTAATTGTGATGTATCAGGCCATCAAAGGTAACACAATCAAGTGAAAACCGGTCAGCAATTGCATCAGTAAGAAGTACTTGATTCAAGTTGAAGACTGTACATACGCAGGTAATGAAACGATATGTTGCAGGTAAGATGACCTTATGAAGCTTTGAATCCTGATGTGGACGATGAGCAATGGAGACCATCTATTTCTTCTTGTCCTTTTGCTTGGGGGCTGTGGAATAATTTTAAATGTGTTTGGAGAGTTATGGGTTTGTCCAGCTACATGGAGGAGATGATACAAACAAAATTTTGGGGTTTTGGGAAAAGCAAAGATGGTACGGTTTTGTGGAGTTGTTTGTTGATGGCAGTCCTTTGGAAAATTTGGTTAGAGATGAATCCAAGAATCTTCAATAATCATTTCATTGCATTGCAACTGGTTTGGGACAGAATTGTGTTTCAACTTTCATGTTTCTTTATGGACTAAAGCCGCTGGGAATTTTAGGGTGGTCTCTTCGTTGGACCTTCAAAGGAATTGGAAGCTTGTTGCTTTATGTTAGTTCTTTTCCTTTTCTTCTAGGCACTATTTCTTTTCTCTCTTTTTATTTCTTGAGATGATATCTTGTCCTCCAGATTATAACATCTCTATTTCTTCTCAATCTCAATAATATATTTATTCTTTTACCAGAAAAAAAATGCAGGTAATGCCACACACGCGCACGTATAGATATGGAAACTGACCAAGCTACTGCTGAATAATGAATAGAGTTTTGTAGTGAGAGCTGAAGGTTTTATAGTGTTCAACTTAACATATACTCATGATCCTCAGAAACTAAGAATTGAAGAATTCATTAACTTTGAAAGCCTATAAAAATAAGCATGTCAAAAGAACAAAAGACTTATATGAAGCATACTGAAACAAGTGTCTCCATTAACAGCCTACAATGGAATGGAGGGGGTTTGTGTCTCAACTCTCAAGTCATGTTTAGCATAACTTCCTCTCTTTTCTTTCGCCACATGCCACAACAGTAATATAGTGAACTGACAGAAAATATGGGGTGGTGAAAGGTAGCAAAACGCCTGCCCCACCATAAATTTTTCCTTAGGATAACCAGCCAATAGCCACATGCATGACCATAGTTGTTAAATCGCGTATCAGAAGGCGTATCGTTTTTCAAAAATAGTGTATCATATCGTATTGTATATCATGTATCTTAATATACGCGCAATTTAATTTTAAAATAATTATTAATAATATATATATATATATACACCTTTATAAAAAAAACATAAACTCATAATAATATAACATTTCATTAATATTTCACAAACTATTTAATTTCCCAACATAGTTCAGTATAATAAAAATGCAAAGACCTCTAATTCAAACTTCTAATATCAACTGCTTGAACAACTTTAATATTAATCAGGAATTTTGAACTCAATTGAACAACATTAACAGCATACTTTATTTTATTTTTTTAAACCACAACCACTAAAACGACATTATTTCACTAGCTAGTGATTTAAAAATAAGTTTTAGTGTAAAACGATGTCATTTTAGCCTCAAAAAATAAAAAAAAAACAGAATCGTCACGTATCGTACGTATCATATCGTATATCGTACGATACGATGCAAAAATGATATAGAGACATGATACGTATCGTTTTTCAGGTGTATCGTGATGTATCGTACAATACGTATCGCGTATCGTACGATACTAATAACTATGTGCATGACAATTATCAATTTTTTGTTCCGAAAAAAGCCTCACAGAAGAAAGAAGTTCAGAGTTGCACCAACCAACATGCACCTCAGGCATTTTGCAGCTCCTAACTCTTAATATTAAAAATGTAGCATCTGCACTATTTTTTCATAGCAGCATCAGAAACATCAACACGGCTAAAAGAATGCACCAGCAGCACATCATGTCATTACGACTACAAACAATCCGTGTGATGAGAAGAATAGTAAGTTAATACCAGCAGCGTCCGCTGAAAGTCGATATTCAGAGAATTTTCTGCAAATGATATCTTAACTGAAAATTCAAAATCCACTGATTTACAAACCCTAACAGCCCAATCCTATTTTCGTCGATTGAATTACTTGATCGACCAATTTTGGTCCACCACCAAGTTGTTTTCCTGAAAATTTACAACCAGAAAGTTCCTTACTGATGGCCATTTAGTAACTGTGCCGCATAACATCCTTCAAGACAAGACATTATATTTTTGGTTCACTCCCACAAACTGCTGCAATTATCTCCAACTCGATGTTGTAGAACAGAAATGAGCTAATCACACAAAAATGAGCTCATGAGTGAAAACAAACATCTTTTTTTGTTGAAAACAAAATTCCAGATGCATAGATCTCTAGAGTCTGCTCTAAACAATAAACAAACATTTCAATCAAAAAGACTAAAAACACACCAAAAGATCAGTGAAATGAGAACAAAGCCAACTAGATTTGAAATACTAACCATTGCGATATCCTCCCGCCATAGAAATCAACAAATTGGTATACTAGGGATAATTGAGCTTCTTTTGAGCTTATTGAGAACAAATAATCGCTCACGTCATCAAATAATATGACCCTGGAAAGTTGCTCATCATCTTCTGCATCAGCTACCCCAGCACTTACAGAATTTCCAGCTGTTTAGCAGAGAAATTAAGTTATTTATTCTCATACAGAAGTTCAACTAAATACAGAAACACTTAGTTCATAATGAAAATGAAAGTATATGTTTAGATACTGATATGTGTTTTACATATTGGAACCTCAATCAATCTCATGAGATTGAGAATGTCACTAAACAAATAGTCAGATTACCGACTGCCTTTTTGAAAGAAAGCAAAACAATTTCTAATGAACTCTCCAGCTTCTGAAATAAAGCTCATATTTCAAAAATCATAGACCAAGGCTTAAACCATCAAAGTACAACTGGTTATCATCATGGGGAGGTATGCTGGCAATAGCGTAGATCTTGGGATTGAGTAAGGGGTGGATTTGCAGTGGGGGCAGCTGCCCCCACTGAAATTTTAAAAATCTTTGGGACCCAATTAGAATTTAGGAAAATTTCAAAAGTACTTAAAACTTGCCTCCTGTGAAAATTTATAAAACAGTTGGGGTTTGGTTTATAATTTATTCTGGAATAATTTACTCATCGCATGAGTATCTCTCTTCTTTCCTTCTCTTTCCTCTCCGTCCTCTTTAGTCACCAGCCGAATCAATCCTCCTCAAGAATCACACAGACTGCATAGTCCATTTATCTCCACCTTGTTCTTGTATCCCTTTTTAATCATCAATTTTCTCAAAACCAATCATCATGTAAATTTGTTCGTGACAGGAGCCCTAGAAGACTCTATGGAGGAGCTGTCAAGAGGTAACCCAATAACCCATCAAAGGTTTTTTAGATTTTCAGAGATTTGATCATTTTTTGAATCTTTTTAATTTATGAGAGACAAAACATTGTGGTCTATAAGAAAAAAGTACTTGTTTCTTTCCAAAGCATTGTTGTTTGTTAAATGTTTGTTAAAATGCCACAAACAAAAGCCATGAGAAAATGAGCAAAGTGTGCTAGTAATCATGACTACACAGGAGGCCTATAGAAATTATTCACTGACCAAGCTCAAAAGGGCTGCAATTTTGAACTATTTGAAATCTTGAAATTTTCAAGTGGAATGGTTCGTCGATGTGCATTGACCTTGATTACCGAGTATTCATACCAATATATTATTTGGGAATTTACCTTTTATGGATTATACTTTGGATTAAATTGTTCCATTAATTAAACTTTACTAATTTTCTTGCAATTGATTAAATTTTTCTTGTCTTACTTCGGTTTAATAGACTTGGAATATATTGAATTTTTTTTGTTAAATTCGTTTGATTTATTTTAGTTATTTATGCTCCTTAGAAGGTATTTGTTAAAAATTCAAGGACTAAGTATTGACTTTAAGTCTTTACCAATCAATGAGTTTTAACTTTCAAGTTGCCCCCACTAAAGAACAATGCTGTCTCCACCCCTGGATTGAGTCATCCCTATGGGGAATGTACAGTGAACTAAAAGAATATCAACCAATAAATTCATATAAAAACGACAGAAAAAACAGGTGGAGATAGACAGAGATACCAGATTTTGAATGAACGGGCATCCATTGATCAGAATTTCTAGATAACTCCTCTTCTGACCACCTTCTCCATGTATTGGTGTCTCTGATGTCGCCATCAGTTTCAGCATCAACATCAATGCCCAGCACTTTTAGCAAAGCCTCAGTATCATCTTCCTGCACGATATCTTCTTTTACAGGTTCACCATTGTCCTCCACAGCCACATTACCGTCTGCAATACATTCTGTCTTCTCCCCAATTTCCTTAGTTTTAGATAATGGTTCGGACCAACCTGTCCAACCACCTTCTTCAATTTCTCGTGAAGATTCCTCCTTGATAGCTTTTTGCCTCTGTTCTTCCTCTTTCTCTAGCCATGTTGACCAACCAAGAGCCCCATCTTCCCCAAGTCTTGCACCTCCACTATTCCAGAAGTGCTCAAACAGTCTCCGCTTACCCTGCTCAGTAAGATGTAATGAAGGACAGAAAATACTATATTCAATCCCTGCCTGAAATAAAGCAGTAGCCAACTCTTGATACCCTGCCTGCCACTCAAACCGGCACAGACAGAGAAATATATCAACCAAACCAAGTTCTTGCTGGATAATCGCAGAATCAGGAGAAGATGCATCAGCAGTGTGGTGAACCTGCATCAAACACAAAACAAAGGGGTCAAACTAAAACTTAGTTACTTAACACTACTTGAAGCAATCAGACAACAATGATAAAACATTCCAAAAAGGAGACAGAAATTAAAATGCAACCTTCTAAAAATCCCTAACCATCTATTTCAATCAGCAAAACTATAGCTAGTAGAAAAGCATATGTCATTGCTCATATGGTTAAAATGAGTAAAAGTATTGTTAGTACAAAGGAACATCACATTGCTCACACAATAGCTAGTGTAATTGGCCTCTGAGTGGTGGAATAGCAAGAAAATTTGCCAAGTTCTCGATTGGACCCCATGCAAAAGAACAGTGAATAACTAAGTCAGCATTTGACTGACTGTCATTCATTACACATATAAAGCTGGGACTAAAACGTTTTGTACTGCCTTCTCACCCATCACAAATCGTTTTGAGGACAATAAATTAAAAAAAAAAAAATTACTGAGGGTTCAAAATGCATTTATCCAAGTTATCTTTCCACATCCACACCCAAAGGTAGTCCACCCATCTATGTTCATGGACTCACCAAAATGCACCAAAGTACCCATGTCAAATAACTCAACACTTTGGGTAACAGTGTGGCATTTGTGTTCAACACTTCCCATAGCATATGCACCATTAAAGTTTACTCAACAAATTAAATTTACTCACATAAACCTCTCCACCCCACCATAATTCTAAAGAAAGAAATATCCTCAAAATCCTAGGTGACAGAGCTCAAAAAGATGTTAGAAAATATAGTCGATCCCATAAGCCTTCCCATCACGGCACATCTATCTTCAAATATTTCAAGAATTCTTTTCAACCAAAATAATTCTAGAATTCCTTTCCAATCAAATGCCAGACAATAGCTAAACTTGCACAACTCCAAAGAGTAGACCTTTTATCTATAGTAGACCTTTTTATCTGTCCCAAAACTTGAAGTCCATAACAATCATAGAACAGGACCAAGGATCACTCAACTCAAACCAGCAAAGTCACCAATTTAATCTACAAAGGCATTGAAATGGGGCACAACAAGAATAAATGATCAACTCTCCCTATCATGTCAGCACATGACACACTACTGGGAAGAAAGAAAAGCTTTAAGTCATTCTTTTTGAAGCATATCATTGGTGCTAGTATTGATATGAGCAATTTGTCTTGCACAAATTTACAGCTTGATAAGCAATTTATCCTCCAAATTATCAAAGATGGAGAAAAATGAGGACGTGAAGGACCATCAATTGAAGATTCCAAGAAAGAACCCAAAGTATAAAAAATCCAACTCTTTTATCAAAGGAGTCCTGATTTAAATGTAGGTCATTAGGCACAGAAAGAATTGAATCCAAGTCCAACCTTTCTCTATCACTTAGGTTTCATAGAAATCTAAAATCACAATAGAAGAAATGAGAGCTAAACCCAATCATAAAATCTAAAGCACCATGCGCACAAGAAATAAGATAAAGACGAGGAAACAAGTATGATCACAACAATTCCCCAATCTAAACATCCCCCTAGAACCGAAATCACCCACTACACATAGGAAGTTTAGTATTTTGAGAAAACTGAGATAAATCCTAGAAAAATGAATTTTTATGGGCATCAAAAACTTTCCATTTCAACCCTATCAGCATCTCACTCATTGGCTTGTAATTCCTATTATTTATAATAACCAAATATTGTAGTGAATTTTGCTCCAAAAGAACTTTGCAGTGTCATTTCTCAACTAAGACAACATTTCTTATCCTCTACCCCACCGAAAGTCTACCTCTAGCTTAAATCTATAACTAACCTCTCAACCAATTGAATGATTTTTCTTTCCTTGTCCACAAAAAAATTATTCAACATTTTCCCAATTCTCGATACTAGTGACACCTTATCGAGCAACCAAAAAAAATAAGAAAAATAAGACATGAGAAATAAGAATATTAGTCAAACCAAACTAAAATTATTTCAACCTTGCTTCTTCCAAAATAAAGGCTTGCTTCTACCCATCCAATATTTTCCCCACTTTCAATACCTGGAACATTGAAAACCAAAGACAATGGGATCCCACCCAAAGGAAGATCTTACTAGTTTACAGACTATTCATACACAGAACATCCCAAGTACTCGCCTAACCAAGAATATTATCATAATGAGAATTTAGACCAATAATTAAGTTTTTATTCATATTCACCTTTAATCCTAAGACTAAACCAAACATATCAACAAATTTCTTAAGGTTAATAATTTTTTCATTATGCCCCGAAGAAAAGAATATGGTATCATCAGCAAATTACAAGTGAGAAAAATTAATTCTCTCCCTTCTTGTTACAAATTCTTCCACTAGATAACGGCTTTTAACCCTCACGACTAACCTACTCAACCCATCAACTACTAAAGTGAAAAGAAAAAATGATAATGATTCTCAATCTTAGACTTTTAGAAGCCTTACACCTACCCTTGTACTTATAAAGAATAAGAGATAAATTAATTAAGCCCAAACAACCTTTAATCCATTTCGTCCACCTACCTTCAAATTTTTTCACTTCCAAGCAACAATCCAAAAAATTCCAATCTACATGCTCACAAGATTCTCCAACATCAATATAAAAACAAGACATTTCTCTGATGATATCAACATTTGCCAACCTTTTGTTTGACATGCACCCTCTCCAATTGCTTTTATTTTTTAAATAGATAGTTGTTTAACATGATACCAGATCAGAATGTCATTTATTCGAATCCCATCACCACCTTAGTCAATAAAAAATTCCCATGTGATTCCTTCAAAATATAGCCCGCACGGGTATTTGTTGAAGCATATGTTAAGTTACATCCTCTCCTAAAACTTAAGATTTTGGTGTAAATGGTAGTTTAAAACTACAATTGGAAATGCAATACTTCAACACGGGCAAAAGGGGTTCTTTGAAAATAGGAACAACAATAAAACGGAAGATTTGACCCTTGATAGAGCATGGTAGAGAAAAAATAAGCATGTACCCGACCCCATAAGTGTCGCTTTCTCTGTAGTGTTGTCACACAAGATAAGCACATCGCCAGCTTGGTGGCTGAGCAAATCAAAATTCTCCTTCGATCAACTGTCCACACATCCAAGTGCAAAAAACACAGTAAACACAGTAAAATCACGCAATGCATGCTACTGGTGTGATTCTTGCTCGCAAGGAAAGAAAAAACAGCGATAAGGTTCCGTAGAGCAACTTACACGAGAGTCCTAAAACTGAGCTTTGATTTCCCTAAGTGACCTTCTCTCTTCGACCTTCCAAGCACATTCCGATATCAATCAAACTTCCCCCTCCATAACTAGCTACACTGAACATAAAGGATTGATCCTATGAACCGCTTGAGCTATACCCGGAAAGGAGTTGGATTCTATTCCCGAAGTGGATCTCAAAAGAAAAGCCAGAAGCGTATCAACAAAAGGCTTGGAACATTTTATCGTTAGTACTAGTAGAATAGTGCTACATAAAAGGCTACACTTGCTCTTAGAAGTCACTTGCACAATTGGGATAAAGGGAAAAAATGCTTAAATATGATTGATCTTACTACGAGTATCTTTTTCTTCCCCTCATACATTAAATAACTACAAAGAGCAACATAAACTGTAAAAAATTCTACCACTAATCAGCATCTCATATGTTCAGTCATAACCATTTAATGTACTAAATTTATTCTTCCAGAATAATTTATTACTGAAATGTACATGCTGTTCTATCAAGTATGAAATTGCAGAAATGAATAGAAACAGACATAACAAGATCATGAAATTTGTCTGCTCATATGTGCTTTTTTCAGTATAAAGGTGACAAAAGATGGAAGTTGAGAGAAAAAAAAAAAAACCTATTACCCACCATGAGCCTCAGAACAAAGCAAAACAACTATTTTTACTGAACAACGATAGAACTCAAAGAAGTTTATATTCAAATAATGGATTTCAGTACTAGTACATGAAGGCAAATATAAATATGCCAAATTGAGAACCTGCCTATACTGCTTGATGCATGCAGCAGATAAAGCTCTGATTGCAGTGGCATACATTTTCCTCATCTCAGAAACCTTGAATCTGGAGAATTCCCCCTGAACAACAAGCAGAAATTGTCTCCACAACTTGAAACTCCCCGAATTCTGCAGAAGTACCTTCTCCCATCTACCAATCAAGATGTCGGAGCTGTCTCTGCTCTGATAAGAGTTCATAAGAGCAAGTAACAGTTCTTCACTATCCGGGTTGAGCTCAGTCGCCTTCTCCAGTATGCTAATCTTCTTTTCAAGAGTCTGCAAACGAGCACCTTTCTGTGACTGCATACTAGCAACCTTGTCTTGCAACTCAGCAAAATCTAACCAAAGTTTCAGATCGTGGGGCCGATCTCTAGTCATCTTGTTGAATTCCCTTGTTTTCCTTAACAACTCATCTTCCCAAGACTCCTCAACTACTGCAGCTCCTGAAAATGAACCCTCATCATCCACACCCGACACAGGAATGAATTCCGGGTCACCTGCCCTTACTCTAGGTTTTTCAGGTCCAATTATTCTTATTCGCTTCAAGTTTTTATGGCGCTCCAATGCGGCGTACTTTGCTGACCAATAACGACCCCCGGATTTCAGTTTACCATCCACGCCATCAACATCACTCTCCCCATCAAAAACCCTACTATTATGTTTCCACGCATAATGTTTTCTATAATGAAAAAGCTTGGATATTTCCCCAGAACTGTAAAGTTTGTACCGAGCAACATCCATTCTGCATTACAGGAGAAACACACATCACAAAATAGTAAAATCCTAAGATTCTCCCCTACTGGAATTGAGTGAATTGATAACTATTACACAATAATAATGGTAACAATATTCAAATTACACCATGTCTTCAGAGCAACCAAACAGAAGGTAAGAAAAATACGTGAATTTTGGAAATAACAACTTAAATCCTATGTTGGTATAGAGCGGAAGGAGGCAAAAATACAAAAGTATACGCATCTTTTCTCTCATATCTTCGCCGTTTTCATCCTTTTTCCAAAACAATCCTAAATATTGTCAAACCATTCTGTTTCCAAGCTGACGGAAATAAAAGTTTGACAAGTGAATACCTGTAAAGGCGTCCAAAGGCTGCATTGTCACGGTCTCCATTAGAGTCAAAGTAGTAGTCCTTGGTGGTAGTAGTAGAAGACGAAGACGAAGAAGCCCAAGACGTAACACCGGGTTTTCTAGAAGAAGAAAGAGCATACTCATACTGAGTAGCCGCTTCACGACGTCGTTTCCGCTTGTCTTTTTTCCGCTTCTTTTTTCGATCCCTTTCTCCATCGTCGTCGGAGGCGGAGGCGGAGGGTCGATCGGATGCAGACGAGTCCACTAATTCGTAGGAAGACCTTCGTTGTTCGATAACGGGAGGGTCTTCTTTGTCGTCTTCGTATTCGAACTGCGGTGGATCATGGTAGTGGGAGGAAACGGCGTCGTTTATGAGCGAAAGGTCGGTGGTGAAGCTGGGGTTGCGTAGCCACCTAGGGACGCCATTGTTGGAGGTAGTGGTTGGATCGGAAGATTGGTCGCCGGTGTGAAAGACGGGGAACAACGACGTCATTTTGGGTTCTTCTTCTACCCCTGCGGCTTCGCCCTCTACTCTCTCCATACTACTGATTAGCCTGGCAATCGGCACCGCTCGGTCAAGAGAGCTCACAGGGGGGAAGTCTGATGCCATTCGGGTCTGTTTGGTTAGGAGGAGCATGCTAGAAAATGTTCCTAGTGTTTGGCAGCTTGGCTAGTGGGAAAATGAGAAATATTTGGAATAATAATTAGGTGAAATGGCATTTTGTATTCTAAAAAAATTTTAAAAAATTATTTTACACCCTCAAATGTCATATTTTCTATATTGTACCATAAATCTAGTAAAAGTATTGTTTTGTAGTCCTTCTGTTTAATTTTTTTTATGTATTCTATCAACATCAATAAGATAAATTTTGACGAAATAATCAATGAAATAATCGTATTACAACATTTTTAATATATTGAAAGTATAATGTGAAAAAATTTATCCTCGCAGGTGCAAAGTGAGAAAATTCATCTTTGCTAATGCAAAATAAAAAAGTTTAAATCTTTTCGGGGTGCAAAAGTGAGATTTCTTCTAATAAATTTCTTGCATTTGATGATATTTTTTAATTTTCTTTTTTGCATCAGAAAAATATATAAGAAAGTTAATGATGATGCAAAAAATCGAGAAATATGAGCTCATCAAGTTGATTGAGCTCTTGGTGAAGTGCATTGTGTGTGATTAAATAAAAAAGAATGCAATAAGTGATTCACCTGGTTGAAATGTTTTCCTAGTTCACGTAATGGACACTCTCTATATCCCTGGCAATGCGTATTGCTGGAGAAAAAAGGTCTGCACATTTAGGGCATGTTTGTTTTAACGACAATGGTGGGATAAAGAGACTCAATAATACCTTAATTTGATTGTCTTTTTTTGTGTGGTACTATTTTTTTTGGTAATACCAACCCGTTGGTTATAGTTCACCAAAACCTATGTGCATGGACTTATATAATACCATATATGATGTGATATTATTTTTTGGGTTTTGGCCACCAAGGGCCTGTTTGTTTTGGGTAATATATTTAGGTGATATAAGATTTTATATCAATTTTCACTCCAATTCAATGGTATATTATACTCGGTCTTAAACTATAATCTCATCATTCTCCTTATTTGTTTGTCACAAATACTATCTGTGTAATACCTACTTAAAAAAGTTAAAAATTACATACTACGTGACGTGACAACTTAAAATGTGGATATACTTTTAAAAAATTCAAAATACCTTAAAAAACTTTCACTTAAGATTAGTGCATTCTGCTGTAATTGGAGTAAGGACTGTAACCAGTAATCGGCGTAGCCTAAGAACCGCCAACAACACTGCATTGAAATACTTGCTAACCGTCTCACTAGATCTAATAAAACTAAATTATACTAGTCTATTCTTATTATCATGACCAATAACGCTCAATAACATAGTTATCATCTCCTCAATGCTAACATTCAAGGTACGACTCAGCCCACCAACCTGTTCAACTAGTGTACACAATATAGAAAAACATTGTCAGTTCATTCTAAGTTGATTGTAGCATGTGATATCATTTTCATCTATCAGTCAAGTGAAATGTTCTATTTGCAGTCGAGTTCGCGTGACTGAGCTTGGGATAATATTGTTGTTTTGATTTTTTAGAATTTTAGCAAATTTGCAATCACAACAATCAGACATGAGTATATCATAACCATATCAGAGATGACACTATCCAAAACAACCACCGATGGCACACTGACATCATTGTCTTCATCCATAACAACTGTCACTCACACAAATTACAGTAATCATACATATCATTACAACAAAGAATATATTGATTTTTTTTGTTAAAATATATAAAAAAAAAAATCATACAAACATTCTGGACATTAAAACATGCGATAAAATATGGATAGAGCCAACATTTCACACCACATATGAAAACAAACTCAAACAAAAGACCCGAATAGGTGTATTTCAATAAAATAAGAAAAAAATATTTTGGCCTTATATTTCTCAAATCACAAAACAAATCTATACTACCATAAAATGTAAACAAAAGTGAAAAAAATTTATTTTTCAATTTTACCCTTACTTAATCAGTTAATACCAATTTTATCCATCACTCATTAACAACCAATGTACTTGATTTGAATTCAGTATATTAGCTAATAATGAATTTAAGAAGTGAAAGTGGGCAAAAGAAAAAATCAGTTACTGAGCAATAATATGAATGTAAAAACAATGTTATAATCAGTAGCTAACAATTATGACACTAAATACAACGTTAATTTACCAGATCAGTTACTTAAAAATTGAATTCATGTCTCCTAAAAGTGGCTGATTCATACTTTTGAATTACAACTGAAAGCAATTAGAGTTGTGTGTGTTGTGGATCAATTATTGTCAAGAATGCTTAGGTATGTTGAATTATTATGTTTTTTCAGCATTAATAGTGAAGGGTAGCAATTATAGCAGAATGTCATGCTTTTATCTTATTAGAATTCCATTAAAAAAAAAAACCCTAAATCAAGGCATTATCATCCTACATTCAATTGATCAAGTTTTTTTGAGAAGTTAAACAAAGATATAGTTTTGGCTTTATTCAGTGCTTATATTTTAATGTTTTGTGGTCATCCATATGCAAAAAATAAAAAATAAAAAATTAGTGACCATTTCCTCTTTAGAATTAGGACATAAATTGCTATAGAAATCATAGCTGCATATATGTGATAGATCTCCTCAGATCTCGACGAACGTACTTGTTTGTCGTTTGCAAAAAAAAGGGTTCAACAATGTGAAAATTTGCTTAGGGAATACTAGCGTCAAGATCTGCCAAGGGAGACGAAAGATGGTTCAGCGTCTTTAGGGAGACAAATGATGGTTTAGCGTCTTCAGGGAGCCGACTGACTGTTAAGTGTCTTGAGGGAGGCGAACAATGGTTTGTTGGGGGAGGCGACTGATCGAGTGGCTAGGGTTTATTAGGAGAAAGTCGGCTTTTATATGGGTCATTTTATATGAGGGCATTTGAGTCTTTTTATCATATTATACCTCCATGAAATTTATACCGAAATATTATACCATCGGGTACCTGGTATTGAATAGCACCGTGTAGAAGACATTAGTGTTACTGTTCACACAGGGCCAGTACTATGACCCGAAAATTAGTACCTAATAAAAAATGCCAAACAAATAAGGTATAAGATAGGTCTCACGTACTATTTTCCTTATATCACCCATATCCCTCAAACAAATAGTCCCCAACGGTATTAAGGAAATTATTGATTGAATTACCCAATGTTAGCCTGCGATTTGGCCACCAACAATTTTTTGTTTTTTAATTTAATTATTATTTTTTTACAAAATATGATTTTAATTTTTTTCTTTTGTATTATGTTTAATTGTATGGTGTCGTAAGTTTTTTTTTAAAAAATTATGATTTTGGATTTTTTTTTTCTTATTTTATGTTTAAGCGTAAGATGTCACTAATTATTTTTATTTTTTTTCTTGCATTATGTTTAAGCGTACAATGTTATCGGTTATTTATTTTTATTTTTTTTACAAATCTTTTCTATACATACATATGAAACATTCACATATACCTCTTAATTTTTTATACGGTGTCATTGATTCATAATGTCAGATTATTTATTTTTCATGTGAATTTTTCACATTATTTGTAATTTTTTGGTTATTGATTGTCATACCATATATTATACCAAATATTGTGTAAAAGCATTATACAAACAGAATAATGAAATAAATAATGGTAATAGTTAAATTATATATTTGTTATACAAAATGTGATAGAATATATGATTATTTGTGAGACGTACCATAGTACTTATTGAACTAACAAACATGAGACACGATTTAAATATTTTCTATTACGGGTCTTGATTTCCATGGATATTGAAAATATACGAAATACATTTTTCAATCTTTTCGTGCATAACAATCCTCAAAACAAACATGGCCGAGTTGTCTTTGCGTTACTCCATTTAGTTTACATTACTTTCGACTATATCTAAGTATTATTTCAACATGTTTTTGGATGTTGGGCTCTGTGCTCTCAATCTAAGGGGGAAAAAGATAGTTATTTGAAGCTGTTGGTCACTAGCTTGAAGTTGTTCTGGTTAGTATATCTTTTGAATATGAATACTTGAACATGAAAAATCAAGCTACATTTGTGCTACTGCATGTTTTGAAGAGCCTCCATAACTTTGCCTTGTCTAAAATTTGGGGGCGCAATTTGATCCATAAATTGTTGGGGGCATCAGTCTCGATGCTTATCAATTTCTCAACTTGATGTTGAATCCATGTTTTGAAATCATGGAAATTTGGGGATTCTCTCAAATTTTCAAAAAATGTATTAACCCTTTATTTAACTTTACGCCTCTCTCTCTCTCTCTCTCTGAAGAGTCAAGATTGCAACTAGGTTTTCGATCAAAATTCTGTTGGTAATTGGCTATAACCGTCTCTCTCTCTCTCTGAAGAGTCAATATCCATGGTGGTGAGATTAATTCCGTGGAGTGTGACCTTATCCCAACAAACCGATCACTCAAACTACCTTTCAAAAAAAGTGGCATCCGCAAATGGAAATGGTAGAAGGGCAACTAAGCAAGGCTGCGTCAGAACTAGAAGGCCGCAGATATTGCCTTCAACGAACTACGGAGAGTCAATTTCTGGCTTACGGGTCTTTGTACTTTCGGATTTGCACACGGATTACCCGGAGAATATGAATTGGGTCAAGTGCTTATCCACTGTGAGACACAAGGAAGATGTTCTTCTAGTTGCCGGTGATGTAGCCGAGACGTACAAGAATTTCATTCTGACCATGTCCCTTTTGAAGGATAGATTCCAACATGTCTTCTATGTACCCGGAAACCATGATCTTTGGTGCCGCTGGGAGAAAGATGACGAAGTAAGGAACATTTCTAGTCCCGCAATGTTTTTTTTTTCTTTCTAAGTACTTTAGTCTTAAGAATCATTATCTGTTTTAATGCCACTTAACCAAAGAACATAAATCTAGCTTAACCCTCATTTTGGAGAGGCTTATACCATCTATTCATTCAATTATCAATATGTATTGTGATTGTTAACTTACATAAAAACTTTGGATTGAGGGCATATATAACTGAAAATTGAAACATTATCTGTTTATTCATCTCACTAACCAGAGAACAAAAATCCCATCTATTTATTGGGAAATTCACAAGGAGCCCTGCCTTAAAAGCAGGTGCCCTCACACTGGTGATTTATTTTACCAAGACAACCTTTTAAATCTGAGTCATTATTCCATCACTGTCTCGTAATTTGATGGTATATTGTGCCCCTTTTTCCACGATCCTAAACAAGTCGACTTGGGTTTGTTTGGATTAGCTGATTAGAAATTATGTCTTGGCTCTGTTTTGGAATACTAAAGGCTGACCAGTCTAATATTCAATCAACATTCACCAGACAGTCCGTCCTGATACTCCAAACAGATTTATTGTTACATAACTCTTCATAGTCTAGACTGTCGGCAGTTTGGCTGAAATCAAATTGTATACTAGTTCTCATTTTGTTTTCCTGCATACTAACCATTCACCTACGATATTTAAATCTTTAATTTTCCAATATGCAAAAAAAAAATTGATCATCTAGACTTACCTTTTTATTTTTTAATGGGGCCCATTTCCCTTTTAGGATGAGGGTGTAAAGCAATTACTCCTCATTCTAAACCAGGACCTGTTTTGTCCCCAAAATTTGACCCAGGATTTGAACATAACTAACGTACATGTTGAATCAACCTTAATTACTCTCTTGGCAGGCCACAGTTCTGTTATTACTGTAAATTTTTATCAATACAGTTTGGTAAATTTCCCATATGCACATTTTTAAAACTTTGCTTCTGTTGCAGCTGGTCGTCCAATTCTGATAATGTAAATGTTTCGTTGACCTATTAAAACTGTTTTGGAATTAACGTTGTACTTTTTTTTTTCTTTTTAGCTTGATTCTCTTGAAAAGCTAAATAGATTGCTGGATGCATGTACCAGACTTGAAGTACAAACAAAACCTATGGTTATAGATGGCTTGGGAATCATCCCTTTGTTCTCTTGGTATCATGAGGTGATTAAATATGAGTTCTGTATCTTTTCTGCCTTACTACTTTCCCAGATCGGTAACAATTGAGACAGAATCCTTTAAAACTTAAGCAAAGAAGCACTTTTCTCTAACTACGACATTAATGAACTTGATTTTTCAGAGCTTTGATAGAGAAAAGGACATAACTGGTGTTCGCATGCTGTCTTTGGAGATGGTGATTTACTTTCTTTTCTCCTAGTAAGGGTTTATAATTTGTCATTGAGAAATATTACTATCCAATGATGCTTGAGAATGCCTTCATCTCTTTCTCCATATAAGCTTCTCAGGGAATTAGCTATTTTTTCTTTTGCTTTTGTTTTTTTATTGGGACTAAGCTCTCAGGCCTGTTTATACAATCTATCAAGTCCTCATAGCAATTTATACAATATTTGACATTCTTTGACTCAGATATGAAACTGCAAGCTAGTTCAACTGTAGTACATCTCCTTTTCTTTTTGATAATTAAGGGAGAAATATTGCATTTTGAAAAGCACTATAACATTTCATGAACACCACCAAACTTCTTTCATTGAAAATTTCTTCTTCTTTGTTAGTAAAGGTGATGTTGTACCCCATAAGGCACTGTCTGTTGAATTGAATTCCATCAAGATTGCTAAACCTGGGACACCAGCTTTGGATCAATGTGGGAGTTGACATGAGCAGATAGTAGGATTAGTTCGAGAAATATATGATCCTATAAATTAGAAAGCTAATAACTATAACATCCATCCTTTCAGATTTTTTGTACTGGCAATTGAACAATCCTAATGGTCAAAAAATTAAGCAAAAGTTGAGCCAAACATAAAAGAACGTGCAAGATTCCAGAAGTCTACCTTGTAATTTTGGTGCCCTCACTCAATATTGAGAAGTTACTGGCATGAAAAACATCCCATTAGAGTAGTGATAGCAAGGCAGAGTATCAGATTTGAAGTGTAAAATGGACCATCAGGCATAGCTCTGTATTCATCAATAATAACATGTATCTGTTAACATGAACATATTCAATTTCTGCAAGATTTTATTGCTGTGAATGGCATTCAACAGAATTTAAAATAAAGGAAAAGCAAAATTAGTGCTTGAGTGAGAGAAAGGAAGTCTGTTCTTTCTACATATCCAAGCAGTATGGCACAACTGATAAAATAAAAATAAAAAAAGCAAATCAATCCCATCCTTGTGAAAATGAGGAGTCAAACTGATATTAATTAGTCATCATGCTGACGCTAGTCTGAGGCAGAAAACCAAAGTTCCTAAGGGCCCTCATTTTTCTATTCAAAGTCAAAGTTAGTTCCTATTTGTCATAATCAGTGTATGATCAATGTCATTGAGCTGATCATTGTCTTCATTGAAATTTGAGTCCTGAATTTTGTGAGCTCCAAGGATAATCTGGGGTTGAACAGTACTACAATTTGATAATTTTGGATTTGTACTCCACAAGGATTCTACTTTCCTAGGTTATTTAGTGCAATCCAGATCAAATCGGTATTTTTTGATCATGGGGCTGTAGGATGCATATTGGGAATTTGACAACTACCAAATCCATAGCGTGCTGTGGGTCTCAGCCCTGGTCCTTGGGTTTTGATCAATTTAATGGAGACTCGGATTCCACGAAGATTCTATCTTTCGAGATATTTTGTTCGTCCCAAAACACGGTATCTTTGGACACTAGAATTGTAGGATGCAAATTGTGCAGTCAGCATCCAGTTCCTCCATAGCAAGATGTGTATACAACATTTGCTGACCATGTGAATATTGGGTTTGAGATAGAGATGTAAGTTTGTTTTATCAATAAACCTAAAAAAGGAGTTTTTCCTGCACATGGATCATGGCTTTCCTATGCAGGTTGTGGCTTCCCATATGCATCCTTAACTTCATCATCTTCATCTTATTAGCACGTAGTGAAAAGGAAAATTAACGTGCTACAAATTGTTAATTTTATGTGCAGGCCTGTAAAGACTTCCATGCATGCAAATGGACCGGAGAACTTTCAAAAGCAGACAGTTCTCTTGCTTCGTACTTTGATGCCATGAACGAAAAGACTCAGGATAGAATTGATGAAATCCAGAGGTCATGCAGCCAAATAATTTCTTTCTCTCACTTTCTTCCTAGGTCAGTTAATATATTTTTTGAACTCAAAGCTTCTCTCACTGTTATTCTCGCTCATTTGAGCCTGTTTTCTTCTGTCACTTTCTGAGAGGTGCCAGTTCTCAGTTTTTGTGCTTTATATAATATTCAGAATTATCAGGTTTTATAGTTGTGTTTTCAATAGTGTGATTTGATATCTTGGTTTTAGCTTATTGAAGATAATTATAAATTTGAACTCATTGATTTTGCTTATGTGATTCAATGGCCACATTTTACCGAGGAAGAGAGATTAGTAAAGTAAACCAAATGACTACAGTTTACGAAGGTTTACAGAGATCATATCAAGGATGCTTTCCAGGGCTAAGCCTTGATCAGTCATGAGCTGGATAATTCAGGACCCACCTTGGACCTTGTATAGTTTAGTCTTGAGTCTTAAGGAGTTGTATTGTATGTGTTATTTGCTTTAGTTACAATAGTTTGTTATTGCAAATAGATTTGTATTGTTACTGGGGATCAGGTTTTTTTTTTTTCTTTTGTTTCCAAATTGGAGTCGTGATCATTATTGTAGTAGGAGATCTCTAGAAGCCTATACACACCCATCTAATCTATCAGAATGAGTGAATTAAGTTGGAGAAAATAGTCAAGCTCAAAGCCACATTGTGGTTTGCATAATGCAACCTTGATGCTAGGTGTGATGTCTTCCTAGAGGTATTGTATTCCACTCTTCTTAATTTTCTTCAACTAATGAGCGCTAAATTAAAGCAATAAACAACAATTCACACCAAGAGCAATTTTACCGTGGAAACCCTCTGGGGGGGGGGGAACCATTGGACCGATCCTAGTTCATCTAAAACTTACTTCACTATTCTTAAAATTTATACAAAGTCAAAGACTTACAGTTCAACCAATACAACCATAGCTAAATGCTTTATTCCTTGAATTTAACCCACCGAACACGTGTTCGGTTTTAAAATTACATAAAACCTTGGACTTAAAGCACCAATAAGCAGTCCCTATATCAGCAACATAAATTGTTATAATTTAGACATGTGTAATTTCTTAATCCTTCATATTCCTAGTATTTTAATAACATCCTATAATATATATAGATGTATCATAGCCGTACTCGTATCCTACTTTTAAAGATTTTTCTATATTGTCGTATTTGTATCATGTTGTATCCATATCCCATATTTGTTTCCGTGCTTCCTAGGCAAGAATTTTAATGGTCTAAAAGCAGATGAGGTAGAGTTTCAACATTTGAGGTGGTAATGTAGTGAAGGGCATGGAAGTGGTAGGTAGAGACATGTTATCAGTTCTGTGTGACAATGGTGGTGGTGTTGAGGTGGGGTAGTTGGTAATCGTGTGTTGTGGAATGTGCCCAATGACACTTTTGTGGAGTTTATGTTGTTATGCCTCCTTGTGCTACCTTGGAAAAGAAAATGGCCAATTGGGCTCTCTTATCCTAAACCCACCCTGTCGGAGATCCCCACTTCGATCATGTCCCAATTTAGGTTGAATTTTCGTTTTCTGTCCCATCCTCAAACCAAGGACATTCTTTTTATACCAGTTTGGCCCCAATTAACAAATTTTTAAGATTTGAAATCAAAATAGATCAAAATTTTATTTTGAAACGGCCAAAACGTTTCCGTTTTCAAGGAAACCAAAACGAATCAATGATCGGATAGAAATCCAATGCTTAATGGTGTTTTGGAATGTTTTGACATATTTATGTCAATATTTCAGAATCTTTTGAAAATAAATTTTCAATTTTTTTTTACATTATGTTTCCGAAATGTTTTTAAGATATTTATAAAACGTTTCTATTTCCTAGGTGATTGAAATAATGAATTGAAACGAAATTGTAATTCTCGAGTGTTTTACTCCGGAAATACTATGTATATATTAATTTCAGATCTACACTATTTCATTTTACAAGGATGTCGATGTTTCCCCCGTTCGTCAAGCCTGATCAACTTGACTCTGTCCCGACCTTCTGGCCTATTGAAAGAAGGGTGGGCCTGATCAGCCATGAATCTCTCAATGCGATTATTTCTGAAAATTTAAATTTGAGGCGGTTTTTTTGATGAAATTTCAGCTCTTTGAATGGATGTTATTATTTGGAATAAGAAGGATGACTTTGTGTGTCTGCCATTTGGAAGATCAAAGCTTTTGCAGTATACAGGTGAGATATCTTTTATGCCGGAACAGTCACTTCGGTGGTGTGAACAGGTTTATTGGATTAGCGAAGAGGACTGGTAACAAGGGGCTTATTGGTTAGCTTGATATGCTAGGAACATAGATGAGCCTTCAATTTGGTTGTTGGAGGCCCAACTTCAAGGTGCTTCCCCTGCAAAAGAATATACTTACTTTTGCAGTTAATTCTGTGCTGTGAGAAAAGTATCCGACAATGTTATCTGGGCATGGCAGGAACCTAGAATTAAGAAATGGGCAAATCTGTGTCTGATGACTATTATGTTTCTCACATTGCTCCAGGGATGAACATGCGTTGCAAATATGACAAAAAAGTTGTTTGTCCCCCACCCCCACCAAACAACAACACACAAAAAAAAACTACGATTTTGTTTCACTTTGTCCCGACACGTGGATGTTTTTCTCGACTTTTGTATTTGGAACAGTTTGTAACTAATTCAAATAGTTGAAAGAGGCAATATGAGAAATTTAACAGTTCAAGGGACAAAATGAGATTGAGGCCCCATTTGAGGGATCAAATTGTAAATTTCCTTGAGAAACTTGCCGCATTTGCCATCCCTAGTGGCGCTTGTGCTTCTCTATGACTACCTTTGGTGGAACGTGATTTGTTCAGCCTTTTTCGTGTGTCTATTTCATGATATTAATACTTCCCCGTTCAAAAAATTTATTGTACTTCTGTAATTCGCCATTATAAACTAAACCCTGTGAACCTTGAGCTTTATTGGTGGGTCGATGTAGTTTTAAGCATGCAGTGTATTGGGCTGCAACTCATCATTGTTGGTATAATTGCTTGGTTTCCAATCCCATACTGAAAATCTTGTTACAACATTCCTGTGCTTGATAAACCACTGTAGGTGATTGTTCAATAATGGTAGTGCCTTTTGTGGATGGCTTCGTTTATGATGCAATGTTGTGTACCAGAGCTTATTGTGTTCACCGTTTTCTGTATCCCTTATTATGCAGGCAAGAGTTATGTCCAGAAAAGAGGATGCTTTTTTATCCCAATCTCCCAAAAATTATTGGCTCTGACTTTCTTGAGGCTCGAATAAGATCTATACACGGACTTGAAGGTAGTGCATCTGCATGCCATGTGTTTGGTCATACACATTTCTGCTGGGATGCTGTGCTTGATGGTATCAGGTATTGTTTGGCACCTAATGTACTAGTTCATTATGGGTTTCAAGAGATTTGTAACACGACTATACTTCTTGGCTGTCATAACAATATTGGTTTTGGCTATCATATTTGGGTTGTAAACCTGGGATATGCCTTTGTTCCCTAATGCAAGGAAAACCTATTTTTAATGTAGTAGAAGAAAATTACAGTTAGGAAGTGAAGTCCTATAAATTATAAGGCTGCCTCATATTGAATATAGCTGGGATAGTATGTCATTGTAGGTTGTATGATTAGTTAGATAAGAGCAATGTTGGGCACAAAGTAAATGTTTAATATGGTCAAGATCTATGGCTAGTTCTATGGAATTAAGGCGGCCTGCTGGAATAATCTAAAACTGATGTTGAGCTAGAATGACGGGTTGTGGAAGTTAGAATTTAGGATTTAAGGGTTCACACTTGGAGAATCATGAAGGGCTTCAGAATGTTTGTTACAAGAAAATACCATTGCCACAAGAGCAAAAGAAAAATAAAGCAGGACCTGCAACAAGATACAGGTGACAATACATTTGTCAAAGAATACGAAACCTGCAACTTGCCAAAATTATAATCTATTTTTAAGATATTAATTTGTTTTAATGATTTTCACGTGAGCAGGAGCAAAACTTTATTGGTAAATCTAGATCATCTTTAATAAATAGGTACATAAACTAAGTATGTTCCTTTCAAGTTCTGAACCTAGGTTTGAAGGATTCAATCTAACCATCTAAAACTATCAGAGAAATCATCAAGACCCATTGAGGCAGTGGGCCCATTCTCTAACAACTCAAGCTTTTAGAGTATTGGGTAGTCTGACACGGGATCAAAAGCTATAATTTTAAGCTTTAGGGTTCTGGTCTCACTATTTGCATGGTACCTTCGCTTTTGTTATTACATTGCCAGATGCACTAGGTTCTTGTTCTACTTGTGCGTATCGATGCAAAGGATGAGACTATTGAGAACTTGATACATTATTGGACCATTCTTGAAATGTCCGGCATTATTAACATTAGATACACCTATTTCAAGAGCTAGACTTGTGCATGTATTTTTTCAAAAGAGAAAAGATTTGTGCATATGTTCGAGTGCATGCGTAAAGAGTTCTATTCTGACCGTCTTACAATGTACAGGTATGTTCAGGCGCCATTAGCTTATCCAAGAGAACGGAAAAGGAGAATGAATGGAGGTGAAGATTGGCTACCATTTTGTATTTATTCGAATCACCGGTTCGCCGAGAGGCTCTCTCCTTGTTACTGGTCTGATTATTATTCTGCTAATTCAAGAACACCTCATATTACTCAACTTGCCCCTTGGGTCGCCAGATTCTATGGCAGACTCTCGTAGACAGTCTGCATCACCAGATTTGTGGTGTTGTAACTGATATATATATATATTTATATTCCATACAATCACATATATATACACATTCTAGATATTCATACCCCATATTTGATGGGATTACTTTAGAAAACGGAGTGCCTAAATTACAGCTACTATTGTGACTACACTGCGGCTGCAGGTTGTTCGTGGAGATCATGGCGGTGATTATGTTTGTTGACTTGATCATCACCTTTAACAATAATTTTCAGAGCCATTGGAAAGAGGAAAAGGCCTCTGCTTGCTTGGGTTGAACCCAACATTTGGATTTGTTTCTTCATCAGATTGTTCAATTTGTAAGTTGTCTCTCTACGTGCTTATTTAGCTTACATAGTCTTTAATCCTCATAGTTACTTTTGTGCTTCTTTAAATTCTTTTTTAAGTAGCGTTTGTTGTTTAATGTATGAATTGATTATCATTTTGTTCTTTTCACATTCGTTTTCTCTCTTTGAACACACTCAATTATCAATCTAATGATCATAATACAATTAGATCCTCAAATTATGTCTTTATAACATTAGTGATTATGTTATAAATAAGTTATGGAAACTGTAACAGTTGATTCATCGTAATGACAGTAGTAATCTACCAACATTTATATAATAAAGTAGGTTAAAATTCAAATTTCAAAAGATAAATAAAATAATTTTTTTTATTTGTGGTTGAGATCATTTTAAATTTTATTTTAAAGTTAATCTAACCGCTAATATTAATATACTAAATTTAATAGAAAAAATAGGCCCTTAAAGGTGTGTTTAGAGTGATTTTTTAAAAATACTTTTAGAAATTATTTCTCATAAGTACTTAAAAAAAATAGTATTTGAAATCGTCCCACCACTACCTCTATTAGCACCACCGCCACCACCACTGCCACCGTAATTGTTATTGTCGCTACCACCACTACCGCCTCCACCACCACCTCTACCATCGCCACGGCCACGGCCACCGCCACCACCGTCGCTGCCGTTATCACGGTCATTGTCACCCACCAAAATCATCACCGTCTCCTACTACCACCATTGCCGCCCACCACCATTGCCGCCCACCACCTTTCACCTCTATTACAAACTGATGCTTAAATTCTTTTATCTCTTCTCTATATTTGTGATTTGATTTTGAATATGAATATAAATATGTTTATTATTTATCATTTTTTATTACTTTGTACCTTCAGGCACATACAATAATTAATTTATATAATAAAGTAATTTATAATTCAAATCTCAAAAGATAAACAAAATGACTTTTACTATTCGCGGTTGAGATCGTTTTAAATTTTATTTTAAAGTTAATTTAGCGACTAATATTAATACCTTAAATTTAATAGAAAAAATAGACTCCTAAGGGTGTGTTTGGAGTGATTTTTTAAAAGTACTTTTAAAAATTATTTTTCATAAATACTTTAAAAAAAAATAGTGTTTGAAACTGTCTTATCATTATCTCTACCACTGTCACCGTCGTCGACGCCACGAACCCCACCACCGTCGCCACACCACCACCACCACCGTTGTCACGGTCATTGCCATCCACTACAATCATTACCGTCTCCTACCACCACTACTACCGCCCACCACTTCTCACCCCCACTACAAAAAACGATGTTTAAATTTATTTATCTTTTCTTTATGCTTGTGATTTGATTTATATATGAATACAAATATATTTACTCTTTACCATTTTTTATTACTCTTTGCCTTCAGGCATAAGTAATTACTAGTATCTTTATAAATTCTCTAATTCCGACGTAAATGACAAGATCAAACATGAGAGAAGATTAGTGAGGTGCGTTTAAGTTAGTCCGAACACTCTTGACTACAATACTTGGGAAAAAAAAAGAGTCTGGTTCGATACCATAGTTTAACCCTAATTGCTAAATTACATAAAAATTGAACACACTCTCAAATTAACATGCAAAGTGGTTACCAAAAAAACAAAAATAGAAGGTGGCTGCATTATTGTTTGGCACTGCTGAAAATGAACATACAGCCTCAACAGACACACAAAAGAACATGGAAAAACAAAAAAAACAGAAAACAGGTAATTGAAAACCTTCAAATTTGCAGACTTCGATCATTCACACAGCTGACTGAAACTAGTAATCTTCAGGAGCCAAAGGCTGGTGGTGGGTGTGGACTGGAACTTCCGGTTGTATGAATCCAAACTCGTATATTACCCCCGCTAGTCCGGCACCGATGAAGGGACCAAGCCAATAGATCCAATGGTTCCTCCACCTCCAACCCACCAAAGCTGGCCCAAAAGCCCTCGCCGGGTTCATCGAGGCTCCTTCAAACGGCCCTCCCACTAAGATATTAGCCCCAACAATGAAGCCGATAGCTAGAGGTGCGACGGTCCCCAAGGTACCCCTTCTTGGATCGATGTTTGTTGCATACACCGTGTACATCAGCCCGAAAGTCATAACTATCTCCATCAGAAGTGCATTCCATTCATGTACGCCGGGAGCCACCGATAATCCAATTGGTCTCTGTAGGTACACAGAAGGGTATATACACAAATATTATCTGACCTTTATACAATATTCAATTAGAGAACTCTCCACAAAAAAAAAAAATAACGAGAATCCATTCCCATAAATGGGTATTTTCAAACTTTATTTTATATTTGAAAAGAATTATTAGAGTGTCATTAAGATATACTAAAAAAAATTGAAAACTGCAAAGGATAGTTTCGATTTGTTTTTACCATGCCATTAGTGCTAAGCCTCAGAAGTAGAGAGGCAACCACGGCACCCAACAGCTGAGCAACCCAGTAGTAGAAAGCGCGAAGAACAGAGATTCTTCCACCGACGAGGGAACCGAAGGTGACGGCGGGGTTCACGTGTCCACCGGAAATGTTCATACTGGCTGCAACCGCCACAAACAGAGACAACGCGTGGGCAAGTGCCACCACCGCCAGGCCCGAAGCTCCTGGTGCTTTGTCCCTGTACAACTTATCTACACAAACACAAACACAGATACATACACACACATAAATATATACAATTACACATGCACGCGCGCACACACACAAAATTATGTATATGTATCAGCATAAGATGAATGATGCATGCTTGATTACACCCACAAAATATTAGCATGCAATAGAAGAAACTTGAACAGTAGTAGATGCATGGCTTATATAAAATTCTACACACACGCACACACGTGTATTACATATACAAAAACACACACACCCCCTCCTATGTATATAGTATATACATACTGAAGTGCTCTATGCCTGCATGAATACACCCATAAATTATTAGCATGCATAAGAAGAAAGTCGAAGAAAAAGATGATGGTTGTGTGTAAAACTAATAATTTCAAAGAACACAGCAAAATTACTGAGAGCAAGGATGGAGCCTTCGCCAGCGAAGACAAAGATGAAAGTGGAGAGGAACTCAGACAAGGTGGCCCGCATAGAGTCCGGGTGGGTGGCCTCTTCAGCCCTCCCAAACGCATATCTTCGAGGTGGCATGGCTTCACTCTCTCTCTCTGATCACTAATCTCCACCGACAGCTTTAACTGCTGTTGCTGCTTCAAATGATTTGCTGCTACTTTTGGAAAGACACGAGAACTCAGGTGATGAAAGAGATGACAAGGAAGAAGAAGAAGAGATATGGATGATGGGGTGGGAAGATGATTTTGGTGCTTAAATTGGACAAAATGGGTTTGGGGTTAAGGGGACACTTGGGAGTTCAAGTGCAGGAAAAGTGACACGTAGGGACACGTGTTGGCTGTTCAATCGAACCCAGCGTACAACGTACTTCAGGAAATAATTTTTTTATTTAATTTAATAATTTTATTTGGTTACATAATAGATTAAAGTCATTTTAATGATAATAAATTTTAATTAATAGTAGGATCTAGTATTAATTTAATAACAAAAAATAATAAAATCACTAAATAAAATTTACGTAATATTGCCATTTCTTGTAACGATTTCTACTTTCTAACTCTTTTTAGTGTGAACGCGTTTACCCTTTCCTTCCTCTTCTTCAAGAAAAAAAATTATTCTTAAATTTTTATTAGTGGGATCGAGTTATCTTCTGTTATTTTCATGTTTTTCTTTAGAATGTATTTTAAACTAGTGTGTTCCCTTATAAATCAAGTTTTTTTTTTAAATATATGTGTTAAGTTATTCTAGTTAAAAATAAAATTTAAATGAATTATTGTGGTTAAAAGGTTAAAACGTTAAAATTTAAATGAGTTATTATGGTAAAAAGTTTAAAAAATTTAAATTTAAATTAGTTACTAAATCGTAATATAAATCGTTTAACCTTTTAAATTTCTAACTACATTAACTCATTTATATTACTATGTTTAAATGATTAAAATTTAAATGGTGTATTAAAGTTAAAATATTAAATTGTAATATAAATCGTCGAATCAAAAAGATCTAAACCGTTGTTGTGCTTTTCTAACTGATAAGTTTAAGCAGTTCAAGTAGGAGGCTCTATTTTATTATTATAGATAGATCGTGTTGTTTATAGCTCAATATTTTATTGTATCAATGTGTTATGTATTAACTACGTTATTATTTTTAGGATAAATTATCATTTATACTCTTGGAGGAACCAATTTGGTATGTGAGTTTGGGTGAAATTTAAAAGATGGATTTTATGAAAATAGTCAAATGCATATTTTAAACTCATGTTTAGTTTAAAATTTGAGACGTGGGATTTATATGGTAAATGAATTCCGATTCGCAATGAATGGTGAATTAAATTAAAACTCATGTATGTAAATTTAACGAATTTCAGGGTGGGTTTCAAAAATGAGAAATTAGATATGTAGATAAAAAAATTATTTTTTCTAAAAAATCTTTCTTCTATTTACCTAAACATTTTAGTCAATCTAGAAATGACATGAAATTATGGACTTTACATGTACTTATGTTACTTACCAACATAGGATTGGATAGAGGTTTTGTTTGAATCATGTACAAATTATTGGGGTTTGTAAAGGCTCCATAAATGCAATCCAATTCCCCGCCCCTCCTAAAGAAAAACATCCAAACGGGCCCTTGAAGTATGTACCTAATTTATGTTTGGTCTTTAAAATTTTAATTAAAACAATCAAGTCCTTAAAATTAAAATTTAATTTCAATTTAGTTCGTGCATGTAAATTCACCGACTTATTATAAAGGAGTGGTCTTCCATAACCAACATATGAATTGGGTAAAGAGATATATTTTTCTGGTGAAAATCTATGTAGACTAAAAACTTTTACTTTATTTCATCTAATTTTGAAAGAAAGAAAAAAAGATAACAAATTTGAAAAAAAAAATATAGAGTGAGAATTTAAAAGATATTGTGAAATAAAGAGAGAAATATCGATACATTTGAGAGAGATTTTTTGTTGGGCAAATATATCCTTATGGATAAATTCTCTGATGTCTTTCTGTCGAAACAAATTAATAGATATGGATAGAAGGAGTAAATTGAAACTCGGTTAAAATTTTAAGGATTTAATTATATCAATTGAAACTTCAGGGATCAAATAAAAATTATGTACATAATTTAAGGATATAAATTATAAATTAGCCTTCTTTTTATGTTGTGTTCTTGTTAATATTCATACAACAAAAAAAAAATTCACTCTAAAACGCCTTGTTCGACATTAAGAGAGGAAAAAGTGAAAAAATAATATATTTTCTTTTTGCAACACAAACTTATTGGTGACTAATACTAAACAAACTAACTTTTTATCCATACTAATTGATCATATCATATCTTTGAAATCGTATCAAGTTCATGTTATAGTCTTATTAACAAAAAAAATTGACTCTCTGCTATGAAATTGACAAAATATTAATAAAACATAAAGAGTAAGAATATAATATCGACAATTTTAGTTAAAAGGTTCAGCCCCCACCAGGTTTGCATTTTTTCATGACTGGTCCAACCCAGCCCATAGCCAGCATTATATCCCAGATTTATTATATCTATTGAAGAGTAGGGGACAATTTTTTATGCCATTTGTAGAGCTATTTTTCTGAGGGTCGTGTGAAAAAAATATTTCACTCATTCTCGATTCGTTTATTAATTTGTCTCTAATGAATTGTGTCATATCGAGTTTGTATCAAAAATGATTATGTATAACCAATACATAAATGAATCTTATCATTTATTTATGTTGATTGACTTCATTTATACTCGATTGTTTTATTAATTTTTTCATGTCGGATCCATGTTTATCAAAATCCCAATTTGGATGATCCAATATAAACAAATCAGTCTGACTCTCTAGTGAAATTTCAAATTCGTAAAATCTTAATGGATCGTAATCCAGATCTGATAGGATCGTAGAATTTCGATTTGAACTGTGATTTTACCAATCTAAGTTGTTGAGTTTATTTGTTGGGTGCATTTAATTATCGAGCATTCCAATCTATATTTTTCATTTCAATAGTTAAGGACTCAATGCAAATGTGAACGTCTTATATAATTATTAGTCTATTGAAGAATTTTAATAGATAAAAATAACTACAAAAAATTTGTTTTGTTTCCAAAAAGAAATTATTATCCTTTTGTCTTTCTTGTTGAAAAGTTGAAAACAAAAGTTAGATTTGATTTTCTCTCGGTGAGTAATCATATCCATATAGTATTCAATTTTTATTCTTTTCTACTTTTTTTTGTTAGGATGATTAATAGTCAATGTTATTATTCAATTGTTTTTCACTTTTCCAATCTCTCCTGTGCAATTCTCTTTTTAAAATCCCATAAGATTAATGCTCAGATTGTAATTTGTTAAATCTCAATCATACCTTAGAGTTGTGATAATTATATTGGGTATGAGTAATGCTACATAAACTTAAAAATTAGATTTGATAATTATAACAATTGATTTTACTGTAGGTCTCAACATTTATTGGGACCTACTACCTATGCAATGGTTGAGATTATCTAGTCTAATTTTTAAGTCCATCTAGCATTACTCATTGGGTATTCACAACCCCTTTGTGAGAGGCAACCATCAGAAGAAACTCCACCGCTGTTGATATCAGAGAATATGGAACAGTGAATTGAAAAAATGAATGTCAATTGAGTATGTGAACTCAATTTAAGAACACAAAAACAGAAGCTTTTACAATATTTCATAAAAATGGAAGACTCAAATCCAAGCAGAAACTTGAATATCTTAGTCAGTTATGATCTATCTGTAAGTATCAACTGGGATTTGTTTCAATTTCTGATCATTTCTGAATTTTCCAGGAGAAAACTGGACCTGAGAGCATCATGCTGCTAGTCATTTTATTCTTCACGCATTCTCTCTCCTGAATTACTCCATCAATCTCTTCTATCCTTCTCAACACCTGACCCATCTTGGGCTGATTCTTCGGTGCTATATCAGTACACTCAAGAGCTATCTCTGTCAGCTTCAACATATCTGCATGACCTTCTTTTCCTGCCAGTTGCTCTATATCCAATACATCAGTAGACCAATCAGTGTTCACAACTGTTCTAACCCAATCTAAAAGATCATCAGCATCAGTTCCATCATCTCCCAGGGCGTTTTGGTTTGGCAATTATGATCTCTAAAAGAACAAAGCAATAGACATCAGCTTTGCAAGTGAGCTTCTTCCCCTGAGAGAATTCTGGTGTTTTTCCAACAGCAAGCTTTCCGGAGAGTTTCCGAGATTGGAGGGGAAAGACCCCGAAATCAGTGAGCTTGAAGTGATAGGTTTGGTTGTTCCTGTGGATAAGAACATTGGATGAATTGAGGTTTCCATGAGGCACCTTGTGTGAAGGCAAGGAATGTAAGACCCTTTGCAATGTCCTTGATGATTGATAGTCTGGCAGTCCAATTTAGTGGTACTCTTCCCCTTCCTCTGTTCTCTGTCAATCCAAATATTGAGAAATCAATCTTCTCATTATGGGTTTAAAATCAAATTTCTCACTTTTTATATATTCCGTCCAAGGATCAAAATAATGTATCGTTTCTACCAAAACAATGGAAACTTTTCATTTTTTGGTGAAAACTCAAAACGAGTTGGAACATCAAAACTCCCATGTCTAAATTTTTTTAATCTATTTCCATTTTGTTTTCAAAGTGGATCAAAATTTCATTTCATTTACGGAAACAATTGGAATGTTCGAAACCAAAACGAATTACTAATGGAAAATCAAAATTTTTGTATTTTGAAATGTGTTGAGAAGTTTTGGAATGTTTTGGGCCTTTCGGCTAATGTGTACAAAATTCAGATTCTCAATTTTCTCTATTTTCATTGTGTTTGTGAAACGTTTATGAATTAGCCGCGAAAATTTGTTCCTTGGTTCTCTTGTACCATTTAATTACAATATGAAGACTATGGAGAGGAGAAAAATGAAATGCCATGTAGAGAAAGAACAAACCATGCAACAGCTCAAACAAGTTGCCATTGGTCGAAAATCATCCAGGTCGAAAATCGCTCTATTTTTGTCGAAAAATTGTAACTCAACTCTTCTTTCTGGATCCTCCATGCTATGCGACCAATGCATCTTTGTTGCCCTCACCTCAAAATGCTCTCCTAATTAAAGAACAATAAAAGATGAAGTTCCAATCTTAGATTGAATCTGAAGAATTTTTTTTGGTACTAGCACCTATAGTTTCTATACGATTCCAATTTCGATATAATAGCATGCCCTCCTCTGGATTTTGCGAGCTGTTTCAACCACTGCTGGATGTGATTCCAAAACCCAAACAAGAATGAATAACACACAAAACAGTTAGACTTGGCTCCCTAACAGAATGTCTAACCAATCTATTTTGAATCAACCGAATTGGTATGGAAATTATAGCATGGGAAAACCACAAAAAACACAGCTTATTCAACTAGCCCGGTGACCTACCAATTGTAGAAGTGGGATTTTTGTCAAGCAATAAGCATTTAATTAATACAATTCACGTGTACCATCTTTGTCATTTTGAGGAAAAGGTATTGAAGGAAAAAGACGGAGGGATCCAAATTGCACTAAATGGTAATGACATGAAAAGTCTTCTTCAAATTCTAGCATTAAGGGCGTTACGACTTGTTAAGTTTAGAGAATTAACACAATATTAGAGAAAGACAGAAAGTAGTCAAAACTTAACCTACCTTTCACAAACCACTTTTATTTATAGTTAACTTATAATAATATAAATGACGTATTACACACTCTAATATTTACACACAATACCCTAATACTCTTAACACTCCCCCTCAAGCTGGACTATATATATCATATAATTCAATTTTGAAACAAATTGCTATAAGATGTGTACGATTCAATGCTTTGGTAAACATATCTGCAAACTGATCTTTAGATTTCACATATGGTGTCGTAATCTCTCCAACTACTATCTTGTCTCGAATAAAGTGATAATCAACCTTAATATGTTTGGTTCTCTCGTGAAACACTGGATTGACAACGATATGAATAGCTGCCTAATTGTCACAGAACAATTGTAACGGAGGTTGAATTGAAAATCTAATTTCCTGGAGGAAGTGTAGTAGCCAAGTCGACTCACTCGTTATATGCGTCATTGCCCGATACTCAACCTCAGCATTGGATCATACTACCATTGGTTGTTTCTTACTTTTCCATGAGACAACGTTATCTCCTAAGAAAGTACAATAACCAGTGGTTGATCTCCGATCAGAAAAAGAGCTAGTCTAATCAGCATCCGAGAAATCTTCCACTCTAATATGTTCATTAGCTCAATATTAACAATCCAATGCCAGGAGCACGTTTGGGATATCGCAAAATACGAGTAAATGCCTCTCAATGTGGTACTTTAGGACACTCCATAAACTGACTTACTATATTAATTGCATAGGAAATATCCGGTCGAGTAATAGTGAGATAATTGAGCTTCTCAACCAATCTACGATAGCAACCCGGATTTTCAAACAGTGCACCATCATCCACCAACAGTTTCTGATTCGGATCTATAGAAACATCAATCGACCTACCATCCAACAAACTTACTTCCTCTAGCATGTCAAGTACATATTTCCTCTAGGATAAACAAATACTCTGTTTAGATTGAGCCACCTCAATACACAAGAAATACCTGATTTTTCTCAAATCCTTAGTTTGAAATCGGTCTTGCTGGAAGGTTTTTCACTTGGCAATGCCGTCAGAATCATTTCCAATAATCACAATACCATCTACATAGACCACCAATAGAAGATATCCGGCATCCGTCTGCCTATAAAACATATAATGGCCTGTGTGACATCGAAAAAGACCAAACTCTAAAACTGCATCTGAAAATTTACCAAACCATGCCCTCGATGACTGCTTCAAACCATACAAAGATTTCTTTAACCGACATACACTCCCGTACTCCCTCTGAGCAGTAAACCCAAGTAGTTGCTCTATATATACCTCTTCAACCAAGTCACCATATAAGAAGACATTCTTGACCCTGGCTACTAGTGAACAGACCCAGGGGAGGCTGAGGTGACCCTAGTTCTCAATGGTTGAAAGAATAGTTCCTGGTGCGTCTTTGTGACATTCACCGGATCGTCTTAGGAATCAGTTCCCAAGTGCCAACTCGTAGTGACCCTAAGTACATTGTTGGATCCAACTTTGAGATCTTTTGGCATTTGGTATGGTTTTCAGATATCGTACAAGTCCTTACCAGTATGAGATGATGATACAATTTATTATTGTCACAACGTTTTTTTTTTCTGATTTTGTTTATGATTATCTATGGCATGCCATACGTATTTTCTTATTATCAGTTATTTTATATTCCATGCCTTCAAAATGAATATTACTATGTGTGCTTTACCATTCATTGGGCTTTAAGCTCATTCTATTAGATTATTTTTTTCCTCCAGATGAGAGACTGGAGTGTTGCTAGTAGACTCTGGAGACTTTTGTGCACCTGATTGTGCCGTGACCTCCATAGGGCGTTTTTGTGCACCCTTTTATGTAGATAATTATATATATATATACATGTACTTTATCACTAGACGCTCGGTATGTATGAGCGGTAATCCTCTTTTTGTTGTAGTTATGTGGACATGTTACTTAATAATACAATAATATTTTGTATTTGTATTTTCTCCTAATGATAATATTGATGATAGACTTACATGCTCCATGGGATAAGCTCCATGGTTCATGGCTAGTCATATCTCTAGAGACAGGGTGTGACAGGTACCTCAGCAATAGTAGCAGTATGGCCACAAGGAGGTAGCTTTAAGCTCCGAATGGAGCTTCTAGCAAGTAGCCCTGAGATGTCTTAGTCGGCCACAATAATGACACTGACGAGAATCTTCCTGTCTAGGCTGATTTGGGGCACTCTGATGGCGCTGGTTCGAGCGCTATCACCCCTAACCGAGGATCCTGAATAATACCCTGCAGTAGCTGCAAGGGGCATCTGGTCAGCCGGAGAAGTCAAGGCTACAACTGGAAGTGATGCAATACGGACACAGCGGTCATGCTGCTTAATCATCGCCGCATACACCTCATAAAGAGAAGGAAGTCTTAACATTGACAAGATCTGGGAACGAGGTCCCTCAAACTCATCACGAAACCCCCATAAGAAACTTGTGAATCCTATCCTCCAGCTCTCGAGTATGCAAGAATGTTGTTCCGTAGGGCTCTATCCTCGGAATAGTAACAAAATGACGTAAAGTCTCATACTCAAATAGTCATAATAATCCTGAACGGTTATATATCCCTACTGAGCATATGAGAGCTCCTGAGAAAGCTCATAAACACGAACTCCCTATCCTAACTGGGAATATATCTCTAATAATACGCTCCATAGCTTCGGAACAGAGTTATAAAACTGGTGTATCCTGCAAACAGATGATTCCATCTAGCCAAATAACCATTCAAGAATAACACAGTTCTCAAAGAACCACGCAGAATATTTAGAGTCGTCATCAGTTGGCTTTGGGTGAGATCCCTTCGGCCAACCAACCTTCCCTACACGGCCTAAGAAAAGCTAAAATGAGCGAGACCACTCAGCGAAGTTACGACTATTCAACAACTGTGTCGTAACTTTCTGAGAGATCATGTCCAGTAATGCTAATAATACAACTATGCCAATAGGTACTATATATTGGTCAAACATAAAAGTGGAAGTACTAATAAATGTCTCAACGGTAGAGGTGTCAACAGTAAGGGTCTCAAGTCCCTCAATAATAGTCATATCAACAACAATACTAGGACACCCGTGATAGAAAAACAACTCTAAAATAAATAGAGGGATAAAATAAGGGAAAACAATATATCTTAAGTCGAACAATGACGACAGATAAAAAAGGTCCAGAAAGCTCCCAAATAATCAAGTCAAAGTGCCTAGAAATCCAATAAAAATAAATAAGCGATCTATTGCATCAAGAGCATATCAACGAAAAGAAGGATTCAACCCTCTAAAACCCTAGGAAAAAAGAAGGCAGTGGCGCGAAGAGATGGCGGCACTACGACGAAGAGCGTGAAGCACGAAGATGGGGGGCTGGTCTAGTTGGGTCGTTTGATATGGATTTGCTGGGTTTGGGACTGGTTTGTGGAATGGGTTTTGGGTTAGACAGTGGGCCAAGTTTTGGGTTGCAGGTGGTATGTCTTATGGGCTGTTTCAGTAGGCTGGTTGGGCTGGGTTTTGGGTTGCAAATGGTTGCTAGGTTTTTTATTGAAGGTGGTTTTGCTGGTTCTGGTATTTGGCTGGGGTGGTTTCGCTAGTTGGCTACTGGGTTGTCGCTGGGAGGGGTGGCTACTAGGATGTTTC